TAACGACTGCTTGCATTTTTCTCCTGGTTCTGGTGACCTTTGAAGATTAAATTGTACATCTTTGCAGAAACCACTTTCCTTGCGGATACTTAGAGGTGAAAAAGAATACAACCTGTCCCTGACACCCAGAGCTTGGAGTGGAAGGGGACTGCTAGGGTAGGGCCACACTTCATTTCTTGTTTTGAATGACAATCCTTAAAGTAAGAATACTATTATATAAAACAGTTATTTTGAAATCTTTCCAATTTTTCTGTTGAAATTTGTTCTGCACTAGAAAATAATCTGATTTGTTTCTTGCAGATGCAGTTTGCTTCCAGTAAAAAAAACCTGATCATTTTTTACATTTATTTTGTTATATTAAAAGTTAAGTTCATTCACTCTTAACTTTTTGTGTTCAGTCATTTTTAATATTTATGTATATCCAGGGTTGTCCTAAGAATTGAAATAGCAGGGGACATTTAAAAAGTAGAAGGGGGTCTAGGGTTCCTGCCCTAACAGGGGGTTAAAGGGGAATACCAGAATAACCAGGGGATTATGTCATTATAGGCGGGGAAATCCCGGGTCTTAGGGACAACCCTATATATCACAAAATGAGACTATACAGTGATGTACTGCATTCTTACGTCAACAGTGATAACCTGCAGTGTTATTGGCCAAAATCTCTATATCTTGAAAAAAAAAGTTGCATTTTAATATACAGGTATGAATTTTAACACACGGTCTACTCCAGTGATTAGCTGAGGTAGTGTAGATTCAAGTTTGTTCAAATCATGACTCCTGAGGGTAGGGCAGGGCCACAACAGTGGGTTAAGGTTTACATAGGAATATATAGGTGTAATGGTTAAGGGGCATTTGAGTAAAACGCATTGAAGACTTCAGATAGTGGAATGACCTGACAACCCTTGGAATGCACTTGCCTAAGGGTATTACTAATGTGTTTTAGTGCATTTTTCCACTACAGTATTTATTGATATTTTTACTATTTGAATTTTTATTTTTTAAAAAAATGCTCCATAGACTTCAATGCAATTTTTGTTAAGTACTTAATGCTTAGTTAATTTCATTTTTGAAACTTTCTCTTGTTAAATCCTTTTCTACTGTAAAATGCTTTTGGATTTAAAAATTGATGTGCAAAATTTAGAATGTTTTATGTAGACCTAAGGAAAGGTATACATTCACTATGTTTATATGTGTTTGTATTCTGCTTATAAAGTCAGCTACTTTGTTTATATTCTTTTTCTTTATCAATGTAAGGTCAAGGGTCATTGGAATTGTTGCATTTAATTACCCTGGCATGTTCTATCTTGATAGAGCATAGTTGGTAGAGCACAGTTAGTCATGGTGTATCAAAAATAAAAACACAGTGGACATCAAAGGAAAAACACCACAGCATTGATACAAATTAATATCAGGGTATTATGTATGTGATGGACGTTTAAGGATAGAGGATGGAAAACCTTAAGGGTAAGACAAAATAAAAGTTATAAACACCAGTGGCAAGTATCCTAGGGAATTGATGTGAAGTTCTGGGCATAGTAAATCTGAAGAAGATTGAGACAACTGGTTCTTATCTATCAGTGGGAACCTAGGGGAGAAACATGGTGCAAGTAGTACCTTACACAGTCCCCATCTCTAGATAAGAGAAAATTTAAATACTATGTGGCATACCATCAGACAGAGCTGTCTAAATAAGCATTCCAATCATTAGCTTAGAGTAAAAGGAAAACCTATATATCCCTTGTAAGAACCTGATCATATCAGTACATAGGAAAATTTAAATATCTTTGAAATCTTCTTCTCAAGAACAACTAAGCCATTATTAGTCATATTTATACAGAAGCATCCTTAGGTATTGTAGAATCAAGTTTGTTCAAATAATGATCCCTCAGGGGTTGGGGGCACAACAGAGGGTCAAAGTTTTGCATAAGAATATATAGGAATCATCTTGAAAAAATCTTTTGCTCAAGAACAGCAAAGCCATGATTAGTCATATTATTATAGTCACATCCTCAGGTAGTGTTGATTCAAATTTGTTCAAATTTACGGTGGGTAGAGTGGGGCCACAATGAGCAATCACAGTTTTACATAGGAATTCATTAGAAAAAAATATTTAAATTTTTTCTGTTTAAGACAGCAAAGCCATGATTAGTAATATTGATATAGAAGCATCCTGGGGTAGTGTAAATTTAAGTTTGCCCCTCCCCCCCCCCCCCTTTTAAACCATTTCAATTCTGAAATGATTTCTGCTTCTTCCTAGCCAGTGTGCTCAGGTGAGCGATGTGGCCCATGGGCCTCTTGTTTAAAGATGGCCTTATGGATTTTATTTTTATTTATAAAGAAAAAGTGGCTTTGCCTAAGGAAAAGGAGAAAAATTTTATGGCTGGAGCAGGAATTGCACCTGGGACCCTGCATTTTTAGTCAGAAGCCCTGACCACTGAACTTTCTGTTCCAGGCCCATAGCCAATAGTCCATATAGTCCAATAGGTGTGTTCCCATTTTGCACATTTGATAATTAGGTATAGAAATTAGATAAAGCAATTATAGTCTGATCTCTCTCTGGAATAACCTGTATTTTACCAATGCATTAAAATATATATTAAAAAGAATAAATTTTGAAAATGAGGATGAAGTTGATAATTTAGACAAATATCCTTATTGCAGCTCACCCATTTCATAAAGATAAAATGAATGAGTAAATGAATTCAATCCTAATTAATGAAAAAAATAACTTGTCCATTTAGTACCATATGAATACGTGTATAATTATAGTTTTGATTAGTATTTATGATATTTTTTATGTTTTAAAATAGTTTTTTTCTAAATATGAAATTACAGAAATAAATCAAAATATCAAATGCAAAATTAATCATTTTTCTTCCTATTCTTTCCGTAGAATCTCTTTCTCCAAATTCACAACTATGGTATAGACTATAGCAATTAAGTTATGATTTTACCTGGACAAAATCCTGTTTTGCACACATCTTTTCAAAACCTGCACGGAAATTCAAATGTGTGCAAAACAGGAACAAACTGTCCAATATACTACAACCCAGTAAAAGAAATTGTAGACTAGCTACCGTATATACTCGCATATAAGTCGGTCCGCCTATAAGTCGGTTGTATTTTTTAAGCTTATATGAGAGGGCTTGGCCCTCTAAAATACCAATCTTTTTATAACTCGCCCATAAGTCGGACATAGAGTTTTGAACCAAAGTTTAACTCCCAAGAAACAGACTTATAGGCCAGTATATACGGTATTTCACCAAACTTTATTATAATTGTTTGTATTTGCCTTCTATGCAGATTGCCCATGGTGAATATCATATATTATCATTCTTTTCAAGTTGTAAAGTCACTGCACTTATCTTTTTACAATAGTAAATGATTTATTGTACAAATCTTATAGTAATTTTTATTAAAGTTTGGCAAAATAGCTAGTTTACAATAATAAAACAAGAGGCTCATGGGCTACAATGCTTGTCTGAGTAACCTTGGCCCTAATGTTCTTAAGATTTTAATATCTACAATGTCGTGAAGTTCCACATAAGTTTAATCTTTTCTGGCTCAGTGGTTAAGAATCTTTTTTTTACATGTATATTAGTAGAACTTTGATTGCCTATTGTAGTCCAACTCTACCTTTTCTTTGGATGATTTGAACAACTTAGATCCTCTTGTGTGGCCCCTCCTCTTGGAGACAATGATTTGATATTCTGAATCTACATTCAGGAAGTTTTCAGGTAATTTTTTTTCTTTTCAAGCCAAGTGGGTCTTGAGAGGAAAATTTTTAAATTAAATATATTTCCTATATATTACCATGTAAAATTTTGAAACCCTATTGTGGCCCCATCCTACTCCAAGGGCAGATATGAAAAATGTTGAATCTCCACTATGTCAGGAAACCTTCACCTAACTTAAGTTTCACCTTTTTTTAGCCCAGTGATTATTGAGAATTTTTTGTGACCCAACTCTATTTTTACTTTTTCTCATCTCCCCTAGGTATTGGGCTTGGCACTTCATTTAAACAATTTTGAATCCCCTTTACCCAAAGATGTTTCGTGCCCATCTTTGGTTAAAATTCCCAGTGGTTCTTCAGAAGACAAATATGTTTAAAGTTTACAGACAAGGGGACAGACAGATGGATGCCAGACAATCAGAACAGCTCAATTCATCTTGTAGCTCAGGTGAGCTAATGGCAAGAAAAGTTGATAAAAAGAATATGTACTTGCACTAGCTAAGTATAATTTGAAATTTTAATACTTGTTGTAAAACTTGATAAAGTACTAGGTCATAAGAAATTCTTGGTTGCCAAGAAGTAAAAACATTTCTAAATATGAACTTTGTTGTTTCGTGAATTCTTCATTTACGGTAGCCTAGTGGTAGGGCATTCACTTCATGATTGGGAGGTTTGGTTTCGATTCTCATTTGCCACCCTGCATCAAACCTAAGACATAAACCTAGGCAGTGACTGTTCCTTCACCAACCGCCCAGCATTAGAAATAAAGTCACAGTTCTTTTGGATGACACCTTAAAAACCGAGGTCCTGTGTCACAGTAGGCATTGGCACAAAAAAGAACCCTCACTGCTCAATGGCACAGAATGCTGAGAATAGGACTAAATTTGAATTTAAATTTGAAGCTCTTCACCAGTATATTATGGTGATGCCTCTATATGAGTGAAAAATTTTCAAGTGGGACATAAATCAACTTACAACCAATCATTTACAGCAAAATCTGTTCAGTTTCAGAAACTGCATGGGTTTCTGTATAGATTAAGAAGAGTGATCTAGATGATGATCCTGGAAACATGACTGTCTGACCTATTACAATATTTATCTAAGTCAAGGAATGTAAACACTTTACAGATTTCAGAGTCAAAGATACTATTCTTTTTTGTTTGACAGATTAATAGTTCAGATTCATCTATGGCCATTTAAAAAAAATTCTATGTCCACCTAAAATTGTATTTTAAAAAAAAATCATTTACAAAAAACAAAATGAATATACTTTTACAAAATTTATTACAATATTTGCAAAGCATAACATAAAATTGAAACAAAAAATCAACAAGGAACATTGCAAAGAATATATGAGTGCCAAGCCACAACTACAGAATGTCATTGCACTATACAATCAGTGTGGAACCTTAACTATGCTTGAATATACTGCATTCTATAACTTTACATAATAATAAACTGTCTTCAACATTCTCTAAACCTTAGTACATCTGTGTTGATGGTAAAATGAAAGGATTATTCATATACCTGACCATTATTTAAGAAATATTGAGTTGAATATTGTCCACTGCTAAATGTTCATATTCTACTGAATATCTTTATAAGCACGTGCAATTTAATTTTATCACACAGAGTATTTTTAAAATTTGTATATTCTAACTGTTGGTCTCTTGTGAAAATGATATAAAATAATATGACTGAAATAAATTATAATAAAAAACAAAACAAAATTAATATCCAAAAAAGTTCTGACAATATATATAACTCTTTGGTCAATATATATATATATAGAACTAAACACATAGATTTTATACATCAATAGACACTCTATTATTACAAATGAAAAGTTTTAAGTATTTAGAATTTTATTAATAATTTTTGTGTTAAAATTTTTAATAAGCAGCATTTTGCCTGAACAGAATAATTTTCAATATTGCAAGTGAAATTTAATTTTAAAAAACACACACTTATTACTTAATTGCATGAGGTGCTTACCACACAATAACTACAGTAACATTGCTTACCGGTATGATTTCATGAAAATTGATTCAATTCCAATTTGAATACCAGTGTTAATATTTTAACTCTTTGTTCATATTAAGAAAAAAATGGTCGTTATAAAATTAAGACACTGAAGTTTTAGACAGATGCCTAACTGGTAAATTTCAAGAGGAAGGGGGGAAAATGCCCTTCTCTGAATCTCTTACCATTGAAACAAAATTTATCAAAGAATACACTGCCATTTGTACAAGATCAAAAATTATAAAATTAAGCCACATATTCTTTCAAATGCTGATTTTGTTTTCAAATAAATTATGCAAAAATAAGTCTATATATAAAACCTCTAAGAATATATATTTTTTTCTGGTGCACTCAACAAGACCATTATCTTTTTGAATAGAATTATTAAAGCACCACAGTTTCAACATAATATTCAGCTTGAGTAAACTTGACAATATCGGTTAAACAAGTATTTGACCTCCTGAGGACATTCATATAAAAAATCTGTCCTTAATTTAGTCCCTTTTTCTTTTTCAGATTGCAGGTAACCTTTGTGAGTGAATATATGATAAACGTACACTTCAACACTTGGTAAAATGTTTCAAATATCTAGACATTCAGACAACAAGCAAAAAAGTTGAAACAAAACTGAACTGGTAACTCCTTTTTTTTACTTCAAACAATAAAATAATATCTGATCTCAAAAAAAAAGTCCTGAATGATTGAACACGGCTATGAACTTATGAAAACAGTTTCTGAAAGACCTGAAATGTGTGAACAAGAAAGTAAAATAAAATGTATGACTTTAAAATATATATTATGTATATTCAGAAAAATACACCAATCAGCTGAAGTCGAATAGCCACATCTAAGTACACATTAGTGAAACTAAAAGTCATATACAATACACAATCATGTAAATAAGAAGGCTTTGAAACAAAAAGACAAGTAAACAATACACAAACATGTAAAGACAAAGGCAGTATCTAGAAGATCTATAGTTGTCAGCTGTTCTAACATAATTGATAAATCGCTAAATGCAAGACTTTTTAAATACTTTAATACATGTACATATTTCTGTAGGAACTTTGCAATTGGAAATCTATTTGAATGGTTAAAAAAAATCTTAATAAGAAATATAGCTCTTATGTCTGCCAGTTACAAACTTATATTCCTACAATTGTAACATGTTGTAATGATGACATTCTGGGAGTGTTGTTTTTTTTTTACATTAAGGTTTCATTTTGCTGAGAGGAAGTATTTTATAACACAAGGACATTATGTGCTTATTCTTAAAATCATCCATAGCAAAAAGACCATTTCTGGAAACTGATTATATATAAAAATATGACATCATGTATATATATCACAGTACTGCAGCACTAATAAGTGTTGGTCTTCCACAATCAGATGCATGAAGTTCTTCCACAATATTTTTATGATATAGGTACAAGAGATGAAGAGTCTATCAGTGGAATATAAAAACAGAAAAAATTTGTACACTTGGTGAATTCCTCAAATATTCTAAATTTTATACTTGCAGTTTGATATGACGACACAAATTTAAGGATAACTGTAGAAGTATTTTTTTCCACATGGTATTTATTTATATTTAAGGAATAACTGTCTAATTTTTTGGATTCATGATGTGATCAATCGAGTGGCTTGCATGATAATTTGCATAAACGCCGAAGGTGTTTATGCATAAAATTATCACGCAAGCCAATCGATTGATCATCGTCATGAATCCAAAAAATCTGACAGTTATTCCTTATATTTACATGCTCCTGATTCTGCAAATTCCCGTGCTAATAGCCCCGCTTCTGTCTCTATTTTTTCCCGCCCCGCACGTGATTTTTTTTAACCGCGCCTATCGATGAACCAGTAGATTTATGTAGAAATAAAGTATTTTTACAATTTGTAATTTTATCTCGGACAAAGACATTGGAAATGTTAATATAATGTTATATATGTAATGTAAGCAGTCATAAATTTAATGTACTGAAATTTGTCTCTGTATGCATCAAGTACATTTAAGGCATATAATGGCAATCTAATAAAAATGTGTAATTTTCTTTATGCAGATTAAACAGAAATTGTGACTCCATGGAATTATGACCCATTGGAAAAAGTACTTTACAGTAAATAATCAATTTCAGTTTATCAATACATGTATGTGCAGAAATTGTATAAAATTATTATATATTACCGGTATAAGCCATGTACAGGAATGTCATCAATTATATAAATTTGTGTAATATCCCTCTCTGTTAACTTACAGTTATATATGAACACAGCGTACACAAGAATACAATGTTAATGGGTCACATGCAGTCATTCCTTAGATTTAAGAAGTTTTTTCATGCACAGATTTACAAAATCACCTAGTATGTATACATTGGTCCTTGATTGTTTATCATGAATAGAAAAATAAGCCATGATAATCTTGTTTAGTTACAATTACACATAGAACTTACCGGTATATAATAAGCTGTGAACATATTATGAATCAACAGGAAAATATACAGCCTCAGTATCATTTCACCTTATGGTGATTTAACTTTAACTTAATAGAGAAGAAAACAATAACCAAGGTATTAACAGTCATAACTGACAATATCACGCCAATGGTGCTCCAAGCAGAGCTGAATTCCCACTGGCTTCCATTAAGGTGATGCCCACGATCTTTCATGTCGTACAGAATAGCCTGCATTTGGTCCATGGCTCCTAGAATTGAGGATACATGAAAGAGCTGATGGCTGTGGCCAATGATATCAAAGCGGCCAGGGATCAGCCTCTCAGGTAGGTGGGTAGCATACAAAAAAGCAGCGAGGACAGCAAAGAAGAACTGCCGTCCATGTATGAACTGGGACTGAAGTGTGCAATCTTCAGGGCTACAGAACAGAAGGCGGTAAACAATTGGGATACAGTCATAGCAGTACAGCCAGGCAAAGGCACCAAGGCGCAGCACTTTTCTAAGAGTGGTTGGTGGCATGAAGCGAGTTTGGCAAGACACCATAGTACAAATCAGGCTATTAACCACAGCAATATCTGTATAATGTTGTCCAAACCAGGTGTCTTTCAAATCAGATGGAAAACAGTATGCTCTGTAGGCAATGGCCACCCCAAGACTGAAAATACTCAAAGCACCATAATCCATGAAGAAACAGATATGTCGTGCCAAAGTTGACATGGTATTAAAGGTGTGTGCTGCAGCACTAGCCAAAGGAAAGATGATGCAGACAAACATATAACCCAGTAGTGGCCATGTGTAACTGTCATGCTTGAAGTCCAGTGTCTCTGAGAGGTCTCGTAACACCCACAAGAAATACCAAGATGGCAGGAAATGGGTCCAGAAGTTGAGTGTCTCATTAGTTGCATCAAACACACTGAGAATGCACTGGATTGGAGTACTCTTGGGGTGCCTGTACCCACTAATGATGAAGTGTTCGTGGAAGTGCTCTGGCACCTGGTGGATCTTATAGGTGGGGCCCGAGAGTCCGCTCGATGCCATCCTGGTCAGCTTCACCCTGCAAAATATTACACATATTATATATTTGCACTCCATGGTTATTATCCCAATAAAATACATCACAAAACATTCATTTTCTCTGTTAGCACAGACAGACCGTGCCAAATTATAGTACATTGTACATGATCATACATTATTCAATTTGTATGAACATCTTGTGTTAATGAGTAGCAAAAGACATCATCTTCCAATGATTAAATGTAAATATCAACACTGTCCATGATAAATTCTCCTCTTGACTGTGTTCGAGAATATGTCTTTGAATCGGATTATTTTTTCTATTTATATTATGTAACGAACATTAATCAGACAAACCACAGCACAGTGATTATCAGATCCTTTAAGCATTATTCCAAACTATCTAGCTTGAAGTGGAATAATTCTAAAATCAATATTAAAGTACATAATATTGATTCCAGATTAATTCTCTCAACTGTGTTTAAATTATTTTATTTCATTAATAATTCTTCATCGAAATCTGAGAGTTTGAAGTAACATAGTTTAATAATTTAATCCCACAATTTCCATTCATCAAATACGTACATTATATAAAATTTTAAAACCAACGAAAGGAAAATCAAATTCTCGCATGCACCGAAACTTCTGGAAAAAAATCAAATGATGAGTAAACATTAGTCAGTATTAGAGAGAGACATTACTAGATCAATAAATAAATCTACATCAAAGTTTCTTCCCAGTCTGGGAAGTGGGGATCAGTTATAGGAATCACCCACAAATATCTATATATATATATTAATAAAATACATGCAAATATCAGGCAGTCAAACTCATTTAAAAAAGCCTTGGGCTACAACACACTTATGAGTCACTTTATTTGTAGCAAAAAATGGACAAAATACACACTACTGTAGGCTGATTACCTGTTACATTGAAACTTTTTATATATGCATTAAATTTCACGATCTTCAATGAGGGGAGTTTATCCCCCCTCCCCTGTACACAAATCAGTTTGTCATTGCTAATGAATATAAAACATTCAATTAACTTTTTCCAAGGAGATCCAACCTTCTGCCCAAAACATGACAAGTACATATATATACCTTCCTATCTGTTATCACTGTAACTCGAATCTACACCCACTCAACAACATAATCTTCTTATGCTTCAATTGACTTTAAAAAACAACACAATTTAGCCCTAGCTAGATAAACTGACATTAAACAGGTTATATAATCTCTGTTGCTAAAGAGATACTATACATACCTGATTTAAAAAATCTCAAATTTTATGCTCCACTGAAATGAATAATCTAAATTTGTAAACAGTCACACTTGAGAAATTGCCAGGCATTTCTCAAAAATAAATCTAGAAAATATTGAAATGCCTGAGGGAAGTTGTACAGACCATGCCTATTAGTGAAGTAGTTCCGTTTTTACTTGATCTGTAGTTTGTTTACCCTGTTAGCTTCATCATGACCAAACTTCCTTAACACATGGGGCGTTGTGAAATCTACATTTATATATCTCAATGAAACTAAGAAAAGGATGTCTTACCATGAAGTATTGTCTAAACTTCTAGATAGATGGATAATGAATCTCCAAGTCCCACCTAATGAGGATGCTCGTACAGATAAAGGATGCACTTGTACTCTAAGTAGATCCTAATGGACTTAGATTATTCTACAAGGTCAAGTTTTAAAACTTTCTCCAATGTATTTCAGATTACCTGAACTAATTAAAGAGCAATCTTACCCCATTCTTTTAAACACCATATGATTATCCAGATTTATTGTGTAATACCAGGACTACCTTGGAACTAACCCATCTCTGTCTAAAAAGAAATGCCAGTCTAGCGATTTTATTGGGATCTAATGAAGCATTCAGGTGAGGGTTGCCATAATACAGTGTCACCATAATACAACTCATAATATCTATCTTCCACATGCTGACGTACATACATGCAATACACAAACCGGTGAAAGTTTTAAAGTTACAATGGGGTGATTTATGGAAGATTTCAAACATAATGATTTAAAGCTTGTACAAAAAGAATCTACCCAGCAAGACATTTAGTGCCTAGATAAAATATTGAAACTAAAATAATATGTCTTATAGAGATGGCCATTGTGAAATTATCAAACAAGATCACTGTACACATAACCACAAAGCTTGGTAATTTTCAACAGAAAGAATATTGAACAAAATCAATGCACTGAGAGAAGAGATTGTATAAATATTGCGGCAAACTCTGCTAATAAAACAATGTGACAGACCCAAGGCAGGTCACTGATCAATGCATCAATGTTGCCTCTCAAGTTCACATCGATGCTTTTCACTGCTGAAGACAGCCAAAATAAATATATCAATCCACCCTTGCGCATCTTTTACTGAAGAAAACCCTTCATACAAACCATTCAAAACAATTTTTGAACCACTGGCACTAGCTCTAATGATATCATTCACGATTTCTTCTAGTACAGGTCATGATGTCTGAGGTTTTGCTGTGTTTTATGTTCAGAGAGACTACATGGTTACAGGAAACAATAAATACACTGTGTTCCTACAAACTTTATACAGAAAATACAGAAGAGGAAGCATACATCATCATTAATGGGTTGTTATAACTAATACACATCTACATCTAATGCAATAAAAACCCTTCTAACTGCCAGATCATACAGTTTAGTACAACTGCAAGGAATTCTAGGTCTGTTTTATGTTGACAAGTACTCACGCACATTATCTGAGTACCTATAGGAAGATTACTAACTCTTAGAATCTCTACAAATGAAAAGTACATAGTATGTATAACTAAATGAAACAGAATTGAATATTTCCCTCTTTTGCACTAATTATCAACACTTAACAATTCCCAGTAACAAAATTAGAAATAAGGGGTACATCATTGTACATAGTGAAATTAATATTATTCTTAACACTGTTGAATGTGATACAACGGGGCAGGGCACTTTAAGAGGGCAGGAGGGGATGAGAATCTAAAATTTGATTTTACCTGGCCTTATGCAAAACAAATCTAAATTTGATGTGCATGAAGATTGATGTGGTTATTCAAAAATAAGATGTAGAGCACATGGCACATTTTCATTCACAAATAACAGCAGTAATTTTTGGTTTCTTGGGCTCAGTAACCCATTGATACCACAATGTGCCCATCACAATCAATTACTATAGACACGTAGAAGTGCTTCTTACTGCTAATTATTTAACGCTTTACTGATTATGAAATTTTTCAAAAGGAAAAATACAAAACATTCAGACAAAATTGGAAAACAAATATTTATTATTCTAAATTTTCTAATCGCCAAGTGGGCAACTTGAACGTAATTTGAAGTCCCCCACATGGAAAATTAGCCCCAGATGGGGAGTGAGCAACTGTTAATTTCAAACCCCGCGAAAATCATCAAAAGATTATCCGATCAGAAACGCATATCAAACTTGTACTTGTGTGATGAATATATGACTTAAGAATGTTATACTTATTTAGACCATATTGATGTGTCATCTAAAAGGTCTCATCATTGTGTATTGCCTAAAACTGGTGATAAATGTTTGTTTTTATAACTAAAGGGGCTGTTCCACGGAACTCCCCATAACAGTTACATTCCAGGAATATACGGAAAAAAGCAATAATTTTTTTTTTTATAATCATTATTGATTAAAATTAATCATTCTTTTGTGACAAACAAATATATGAATGATTACAGGATATTTTGAATTCGATGATAGCTCAAATCGCCTGCATTTTTATTACAATCAATACAAAAGTAAACATGAAACTGCCAATTGGTGACATGTACATTGGTTACCTAATTTGTTTCTCTGCAGAGGAAATAATAACATAATTTTAAGCCATAATCTAGAGCTGGTAGAAGAATAGAAATAAAATTCTTTTTATCGTAAATGATAACCTCCTAGCTCAGAATGCCTCGGCTTTTATATTTCAAACACTTCAAGAACAAGGAGATCGGATAATCCTGCAACATCCACAAAAAAGGGAAGTTTACTTCTTAAACAATAAAGTATGTTACAACAACTTTACCCTTAACTTGACCAACAAAAAACTAAATCAGTAAATGTAACATTCTACCAAATATGTCAATTATACTTGAAAAGTGCCAATCGATATGTACATGTACTTGAAGACTCTGAGAAATGTTTTGTGATAGTTGAAATAACTATGTGAATTTAAATGTAGAGCAGTTTTAATAGCCAGCGCAGCAAGCGGCGCAAAGAGCCGCTTGCACTAGGAGCTCTATGACAACATCTGGGCAAAGAAAAATTACTACTGTGCACATTCATTCAAACATTTTTTTCCGCAGTAATTAACCTCTGGACCCACAATGCAACACATTGCATCTCGTCGCAAACTAGGTTCTCACGGTAACAAGAAAGTTCAACAAGAAATAAACTAACCTTGATTTAAAGAATATTGCAGATAAATAGCAGATTAAAAGTTCTCTATTTAAAATTAGCATTGTTCAGGCTTTCGTTTGATAATAAATGCAAACTCATGTGACGTCAGAGTCTAGATGTACCAAATGTTACGTGGGGACAGAGCTTTAGAAGAGACGGATCTAAATTAAAACTGAATAGGTATCTGTGCTCACCTAAGTGGTCGTATCGTCAACATATTATAATGTGCTGTTGTATATACATTCTGGAATGTAGAGTATTTACTATTTCACAAGAACACTATATATGTATTTGCAAACACAAGGATGCTTCATGTGCATGTTCTCCTGTGACGTCAAAAGCAATTTTACTGAAAGACATGGTTCATTCAATCTGAGAGGCTTTTTTTTTTTCTTTTACACTGCACGGTTATATTTTTATTTATCAATGAAGACCGAGCCTCTTCCTGTTTTCCATGGCTGCCGTACATTTGTAAAAAGAATTCGATTTTTTTAAATTTCAGGTATCTTGATGCATTTAAAGTCTAATAATTATCATCTATTTAATTCTACTTTTAATGCAATCCATGGTTTCAATATTATTTACGCTTGAAGTGTTACATATCAATGTCTGCAGTCTGTAGTCTGACATTTTTCCAGGATTTTTTTGGACAGCACTAGCACTTCCACGTCTATAAATTTTCAAGCACTTAATTATTTCAGTAATAAAAATCAAGTTTTCACTTACCAAACCTTTGAAGCAAGTAAAAGATCCACAAGAATGTCAGACTCTGTCCATTCCCCTGGAAAACTCACGCCAATACACCGATTTCACCGTTACACGGCGTGGTTCCCTAAGCGAAGGTTCCTGCTTTGTGGTGGAACTAATAGACGGAAAGATATTCTTTACACGGTGGAACTAATAGACGAAAAGATATTCTCTACCCAGAGTTATCGTTCCCGCTAAGCTCCACTAATACTTGTTGGGCTCATTTGCTAGTCCAGTCGCTGCCGTAATGGCTAATGTTAAACAATAAAAAATTTATAGTACACATTAGAGAAACTAAAAGTCAAGTACAATACACGATCATGTAAATTTTAAATGCTTTCTTTGGTTGTAGTATGGGAATATCAATGTCGCAGCTGTTGCAGAAAAAAATACATAACCCGCCTAAGCGGCTGCGCCTCGGTTGACAATGGTTTTCTTGGGGTGAAAATTTTCAATGTTACACTCAACTACATGCAATATTTATATAATAACAAATTAATATTTTGCTTAAACGAATTAGTAAAAGATACTGCTGCGGCCGTAATACGCTTTCGTAGTAATAACAAGAGGCCCGAGGGCCTAAACGGCCACCTAAGTATAATACAACAGTTTAGATTATCCATAGAGTATAAAATAAACTGATAAATGAATCTTTGTGGCTCAAAAGCAAGAGAAATAGGACGATCAGGATCAACAAAATGATTAGTCTAATTTTCAGTAAAACAATTCATGAATTAAGTTCTAATCTGTCCCCCATTTATCACTATCACCATGCAGACTACTAACAAACTATTAGTGTTTCTGTAAGTACTATTTCTAACCCAATTTCATAACCTTTCACATTGGCCTCTCTTGGTCCTTGAAGAACAATTAATAAAATAAGCTATTTTTGTCTCATTTTTATTTATCTATTATAAATACAAGTCTACTAATGTCTTGATCATTATAACTATAGAAATACTTTTTGTATTATACAATAAAAATTCTTGCATAATTCACTTATTCCATTGACCTTTCAAATGCATTATTTACAGTGATTTTAAAATTATCAAAAGTGAATGGCAAAGGGGAATAACTTCTCTCAGTAGAATATAAATTAATAAAGCCTTGGTCAGGACCAGAACACTTGACCAAATGGTCCAGATGTTAAAAAATCTGGTAAAAATACCCTTGCTTATTAAAACTGTTTGCTTTCGATATGCCCAGGAGCAGAGATTTTCAAAGAAACAATGCTTTTTCACTACAGATTCAACACAACCCTATCATAACACCAGAAGCCATGTCCCAGGATCATGAAATTCAAAAATTTGAAGATGTTCCCTCATCATCATAACTATACAGTTGAAGATTTTAGTTGAAGATTTTCAAAGAATTAACACATTTTCACTATATTATCAATAGAACCAACCCCCAACCCCCCAAGAAACACCAGAACCCCTGATCCTGGGACCACAAGTTTTCAAAATTTTGTAAAAAGCACCCTTGATCATCATAACTATGCACTTTGTGTACCTACTCAACACCAAGGTGCAGACAGGATTATTTAATATAGAATTAAAGGCATTTTCACTATATACTAGTAATCAATAGATTCCCACCTTAACACCAGAACCTCTGCATGACCCAGGGGCCATGAAACTCACAATTTTGGAAAAAGCACCCATGCTCGTCATAACTATGTACTTAGTTAGTTTGTTTGATACCCGGGAGAACACATTTTCAGAGAAATGCATTTCCACTGTATTATCAATAGAGCCCCGCCCTAACACCAAAACCCCTGATCCAGTGGCCATGAAACTCACAATTTTGGAAGAGACAGCCTTGTTAAACATAACGAAGTACTTAGTCTGTTTAATACACAGGAGCAGAGAATAGGATTTTCAAACATTAATGTATTTTCACTATCTAATCTATATAGCCCTAAAACTGGAGCCCCAGACCCTGGGGCCATGAAATTCACAATTTTGGAAGAGGCACTCTTGCTCATCATAACTATGTATTAGTTTGTTTGTTTATATAATACTCAGGAGCAGAGAAGAAGATTTTCAAAGAAACAATGCACTATATGATCTATACAGCCCAACCCTAGCACCAGAACCCCTGACCCTGGGGCCATGAATTTCGCAATTTTGGTAGAGAGCTCAATGCTTATTACAATCATGCCATTAGTTTAACTGCTTGATGTCCAGGCGTAAAGAAGAAGATTTTTAAAGTTTGCATTAATTTTGGTGATTTTAGCCCCACCCCTCCGGCCCCAGAGGGACCATGAAATTTACATTTTTTGTTCCCCTTTACCCATTGATGCTATATACCAAAATTGGTTGAAAATGGTTCGGCGGTTTCAGAGAAGAAGCTGAAAATGTTCAAATGTTAACGGACGACACACATCGCACGACGACGGATGAATCCAGATAGCAATAAGTCATCTGTATGGCATGTCAAACGTTGCAACATTCGGTCTTTTCCATTTGTATTGTATAATTTTCCATTTCTATTGTAAAATTTTCTATTTGTATTCTATAATTTTTCATTTGCATTGTAAAATTTTTATTTGTATTCTATAATTCTCTATCTGTATTGTATAACATTTTATTTGTATTGTATAATTTTTATTTGTATTATAAAATTTTCCATTTGTATTGCATATTTTTTGATTTGTATTGTATAATTTTTTATTTGTATTCTATAATTTTCCATTTGAATTGTATACTTTTTTATTTGTATTCTATAATTTTCTATTTGTATTGTATAATTTATCATTTGTATTGTATAATTTTCCTTTTGTATTGTATACATTTCCATTTGTATTTAAAATTATACCATACAAATGGAGAATTCAACAATACAAATGGAAATTTATAGAATACAAATACAAAATTATACAATGCAAATGGAAAGTTATAGAATACATATGAAAAATTATACAATTCAAATAAAAATTATACAATACAAATGAAATACATATACATATTTTGCTTGGCACTATGGTTTTTGTAAATTACCATGGTTACCGATCTCGTGACCCTTGACCTATTTTTCAAAATTGTTCATAGTGCCGGAATACAGCATTTTTTGACATTTAAGAGGTAAGTATATGCTGTCCAATGTTTGTCATAAGACAGTATGAAAAATACCTGCATTACAATTCACTTGACCTTGACCTTTGACCTACTTTGCAAAAAATTAACCGGGCAGTTTAACTGAAATAATGACTTTTGAATTTAAAGAGGCAGGATCTTGATAATTAGCATTTATACATGTTTATGAGCTCATAATAATGTGCTTTGAAACTGTATGATATTCATTTACCACACAAACATATGTTTAAATTCGATGTCAGTCTAAATATCCAGCCAAGTCCAATCTCAGCCGATCGATTGTGATACGGTCATAAGCACTTGCATAGGCATGGCCGTAGGAACCGGGGACACGGGGGGGGGGGGATATATAGAATACTATAGACAACATAGCTAATATATTTACTTGTGCCCCCTCAATAATAACGTCTGATGACCTTTATTTACTTTTTTTTTCTTGTTTGTCAAGGAATTTTTGGTAGTTGATAGTGCCCCCTCCCCCCAAATGAAAATCTGAAAATGTATGGTTATGCCCCCTCCCCAAACTGAAATTGCTTACTACGGGCCTGATAGGTCAAAAATTTTTAAACTTTACTTTAAGCTGGTTACGTTTTTCCACGAGCGAAAAATTATCGAACGGGACAAAAAATATAACATACCATCGATTTCGAGTAATCTCTCTTAGCATCAACATCAATTCACCTTAAGATTTTACTCTTCTTTTTTTTTTTGAATGTGTGTTTCTTAATACGTGTGCATATTGAAGCCCAGTATTTGCCTGCAGGGCCAAATTTTTAGCAAACTAGACTCTATACTTCATTGGATGAAGAAGCCTCAGTGTAGATCTCTGAATCACTCACTGCAGCCCTATACTGTATGTGAGGGGACTGTTGTCTCAACTTACATACATGTATTACTACTAGTATCCTTGTGTTTCCCTTATGAATATTTCCTAAAGAATTATATGTATTCTTTTGTTTAATTTTGTATTAGGAAAGGAGAAAATTAATGGCTAGACAGGGAATCGAACCCAGGACCCCTACTTTATTTATCAGGTGCTCTAACCACTGAACTGCTCTAACATTAAGCCATGTCCAGTCCACACGACACGACCCAAGGAACACATTGTCACAGGCCCGTAGAATGCAGGGGGGAGGGCACTTTTTTCTGAGTTTAGTATTTTGTTAAAGTAAATTTTTTTAAGATGCTGTAAGGACAAGCACTGGGAAATTCAAGGATTTGGACAGTTAATTAGGTGGGGGGTTTTTCTTGCTTGTCAGATTTTTGGGAACTGCCCCCCCCCCCCCCTTTGAAACCGTTGCTACGGACCTGACACATTTTCAAATCCTAGGCACATGGCACCATATGTACTGTAATAGTGAAGGATAAAATTTATTGCTGGGCCTGGGAATCATACTAGAGACCCCCGCATTCCTTATCAGGCGCTCTAACCACTGAGCTACACAGGCCGATATCCACGGTCCATACAGCTCATACCGATACAACAGAGACCACTTTTAGTTGATCAGCTCAAGAATAGCTTTGGATTTGTTGAGCTAATATAACAATGTTAATCTTATCATTTCTCTTTCTTAAATATAAATCAATTTCTTATAAACTCAACAGGATGACATATATTTAAAAGTCTTGATCATAAACAGCTCATTACATACAGGAATTAACTGACCTGGTGAGATCTGCTGTCATTTCCATACATGTATACAAGTATACATTGGGTATTTTTATATAAATGTTTATTTTCAATATAACATCAAAACATGTTAAAAATTTTGTAACACAAGATCATACATATACAATTGAATTATACATGTATAACGCATGATGAAAATCTTGCATCAGAACAAAATATTTCTAGACCATCTTTTTCATAATTTTTTTTTATACCCAGAGCAAATAAATAAATAAGTTAACATTATACAAGTAATGTGTTATACATTCTATAGTGTAACATACATGTATCTTGAGATCTAGCCTTGCCTTTGCAAGTAATGGGGAGAATGTTTTATCCTGTGAACAAGTACAATGCATGATAAAAAAAAATTAAGGAAAAAAATAATATTGCTGAATTACTCTCACAACCTCCTTTTAAGCCTCATATCTTTGTAGTATCAACTACTGGGTCAAACATATTTGTTGTCCTTTGACCCAGTTAATAATCGTATAATATTATAGATCATGTATTTACCCTCCCCCCTCCTCTGCTATATGCTAGTACCCAGCACTGATCACACAGCTGTACTTTTTAATATAACTGTTAACACATGAAAGGTATCCTTTGCTACAAAACATTCTGCCAGTAAATGAAACCATCATGTTTTACTTTTCATCTCATATTCAAATACAAAATTTAATTTCTCTCACTCAAGTGAATATATGAAAAAAATAATACTGGAGTACATTATTCTGAACACATCACACTATTCAATCACAGATGATTAGCTTGGTGAGCTGCCCTCTCCTTCCTGAGGATTTTTTATTGCTTTATGAAGTTCCAGTAATTGATTCGCCTGGTCGTCACTGAAATGGTCCACAAAATCTTCACTGAGATGTGAGCCCACAATTTGTTCTTTTCTACGAGCTGATAATTGTTTTCCTAGAGACAGGTAGTATTTCTAGACAAGAAAATTTCAAAAGGATGCATCATTTATAATTAAAAAATATATAACTCAGTTAATCTTCTCTCTGTAGTATAACATCATTCTTTTTCAATCATGATATAATTATGTCATGTAGTAATCATGTAACATTTGTATAAGTATTTCTAATTTCCCATGTAATTAATTTTTCTGACCAGATAAGCTTTACATTGATGTCATTTGATGATAACCAAACATAAACTTTACATTGATGATAACCAAACATCTAGTGTATTTGTACCTTACAACATTGTTAAACATTTTTATTCAGTTAAGGACATATGCAACGTAGTTTGAACTTTATTGTCTTTTTCCCTGGAGTTGAAGAGTTCCGATACTGAAAGGAAGTGTGTGCTACATTTTAATGTCTATATTTGCTGTTGTACACTTCTTCTAAAACAAGTTTGGATGAACAAAACATTTAAAATATATGTTTAGTAATTTTTGTGTATTTTTTGTTGAATTATACAAGAATTTTCATCAATTGATATCTTTTCAAAACTCCTGGTAACGCATGCTGATTTTTTGTCAATGAACATCTGATGGCACTATAATCTTAAATTAAGAATATCTTGGAAAATTATCAGTAGGTAAGGTACGTTGCATATGTCCTTAATTGTAATTTAAAATAAACTTCAATAGACATCTTGAACTTACAGTCCATTCCTGCATGAACACATAAGCCTCCGCTTGATTGACTTGTTTGTGTCGCCTAAATTCATCTTTAACATACTGGTCTCCCATAGCTCTCATCTCTAATGGAAGGCTTCTATGTAACCTGAGTGTGATGAACAAAAAATTCCTTGCTTTAATTTATAATAACACGAGCAAATAAACTATGATAAATACAACACTTCTCACACTTTGTTTTCCCTTACATTGTGAATGACATATATCAAGTTTGAGGTTTAATCATATATAAAAATGATTTTAATGGTGTTCTTTTGCAAAGTATGGTTGAGTATATGAAAACTGGTTCTATCCAAGAGTTATTTACAAGACAATATATAAACATGATAAAGCAGCAATGTTCAGCAGGTTAGGATCAATTGTTAAAATGGGATATAACAGCCCGTATAGAATAAAATATAAAATTATGGACTATTTAGAAGGGAGACATCACAAATTATCAGGTCTGAGTAGGTTTGTCACCCAAGGACACTTGCTCTAAACCAATCAGATTGACTGTATTATTCTGAAGGATAATAATATCCTGAATGGGATATTAATTTACAGTGCAAAAAATCAATAGCTATAAATAGGGTGCGTCTTTTTACCACAAGGAACCACAAGGTACCACAAGGAACCACAAGGATACCACAAGGAACCACAAGGAACCCAAGGGATACCACAAGGTACCCCAGGGACACCATATACAACCTTAATTATTCTAAATATGGTTTATATGCACTTGTAAGTTAGAGAAAAATGTTTTTGAAAGGCAATTTAACACTTTAATTGTCTTAAATATAGAGCAGTTATCCAAGTTAAAAATTTAAAAGTAAATATACTTATTTAAGCTAAATTATGCATTTATAGTTCAGAGGAACAGTTAAATTATTGTATCTTTTTATGATGTACAAAAAGTTAATGGTTAATTGTGTATTGCAGTAGTCAATACACAAACCAAAAGTTGATATCCAAGAAGAATCCTAATGATAACCCCTGTACCACTAGGATAAGCCAAGGTACCTGAAAGAAAATCCAAATGACACTCAATTCAACTTTTAAAAAATCTTTTCATGGTTTAAATGCACTTGTTAATTATGAATTATAACTGTTTATTGTATATTTGTATAATACAAAACATAAAGAATAAAAGAACCCCAAGGGACATTTAGGACCATGATGAAATCCCAACAAACAAACCCAAAGAACCACTTAGATTAATAAATGACATTCCATTCAACCTTAATAAATCTAAATATGATTTATGTTCCTTTGTTAATTACAAAGTAAACTGTTTATTGTAAATATAATTTTTTTTAGGTCACCTGAGTCATTCAGTTGACCTACCAATTGTGATTTGTTTATGTTTGTTGTTCATTGGTCATAAAATGTTGAAATTTTCAGCTTCTTTTGAACCACTGAACCAATTTTAACCAGTTTTATGGGTAAAGTTAACCAGTTTTTATAGGTAAAGGGAAACATGAATTTTGAATTTCATGGTCCTTGACCCCTCTCCCCTTCTGGGCTTGAAGGATGGGACTAAAACCATCAAAATACATTGTATATGCAATTGTTAAAATCTTCTTCTTTACTCTTGGAAATCCAATAGTCAAACTGTTGACATGAATGTAATAAGCATTAATTGAGCTATCAATTGTAAAATTTGTGGCCCAGGGGTCAGGTTTTAAGGTAATCTGGTGAAAAAGCATTATTTCTTTCAAAATATTCTTTATTCTAGGATATTAAATTAGGCAAACATGTTACCAGTAAATGCATGGTGTGATGCATATATGAGCAAGGGTGCCTCTTACAAAATTGTGAAACTTTATGGCCTGTGGGTTAGCTAGGGGTTCTGGTGTAGGGCGAGGATCTATTGGTAATATAGTGAAAAAGCATCATTTTTTTGAAAATCTTCTTTTGAAAGTGCTTACAGTTGTGTTGAGAAAATGCATACGGTGCCATTTTCAAATTATTTCTTTTAAAACCCCTTCTGCCCCTGGTATTTAACACATAAAATAAATTATTTATGTCAGAAGTGCAACTATAGATGATTTGGGGGGAAAAACTTGGATCCTCATTCAAGTCTAGAAAGTATGAAAAACTACCCATAAATGGTTTACAGTTTCCAAACAATGAAGTGCCTTTAATTACAAAATAAAAAAAAATGAGTGTGTTATAAATTTAAGATGATGTTTTTTTGTAAACATATCAGAAGTCAGGAGCTAGTGCAACAAAATGATCAAGGTTAAATAGAATCACTTCCAAATCTTGTATTAAAAAAAATAACACTTTCAAAATTCTTTTTTTGCCTGATTTAGTTTTCAAAATTGCCTTATATAAATTGATATTAAGTAATTTGTTGGGAATTAATTTTAACACATCATTTATTAAACTTTCTACATGAGTTAAATTTATGGTCTGACTGTCTGTATATGATTAAATTTTTGGTGGAGATTTGTCTTTTTAAATAAAAAGTTCTAATTTTTCAAATAAAATTCTGTTAACACTGGTTAATAAAAATTAATTCTGAAACTTTTCTATGGATTTGTGTATTCTATTGATTATATACTTAAAAAGTATTCAACTAGAATGTATATATACATATTATGATCTTATAATTGGAAAAATATGTTAAAACAAACTGAATTTTCTCCAAAATTTCCAATTTTTGAATTCACACACCTTATATATCCAAATGTAAGTAAACAACAATAATTTCAGTTAATTTACTAAAACTACACTGCTTTTGAAAAAATTTCCTGGGTAAAAATCGCAGGAAATAAACTAGAAAAACTAAATATATATATATAAACACAAAAACTTTTCTCAACAAAACATTTTCGTTCATTGTTTTCATAGCATTTATTCCTTAATACAATATAAAAACAATCATGTACATGTAAAAAGGAAGTCCAAGGTTGTGAGTTTCTTTGTTATGGGAATGCATGAATTCAAACTTATTAAATTTCTCTATATTAGATTGATACATTCATTAAAAAATAAATCATCATGCATTCATGGCATTGTATGAATGTCTATAGATTGTACGGAACATGATCATCTCAATTAAGAGAAGTTATATGGAATATAGAAATGATAGCATACATCTATTTTCAATGACATATGGAGAACTCTCTTGTGTACAAGATTTCTTGTTTGCTTGCATGCATATATCCACAATTTCAGGTAATCATCAGTGATGATCAACAGTTTTCAGTGATTAACTTGTGTATACGCAAGGTACACAAGGACTGGTTACACCATACCTTAGGTGTATAAACAAATGTAAAACTGCATGCTTGGTGATAAAATACCTGGGTTTTATATAATCAACAAACTTAATAAGTTTTTCTGGTACCATTTACATAGGATATAAGTGTCACTATATTTAGCTGGAAATTGTTAAATAAAATAATATGTTTTACAAAAATACCTGAAGCTGACACATTTTTTCCAAATTTGAGTCTTGTTTCTACTACCCTGGTACTTTCAACTTTTCTACAGATCTACAGTCTGCTAAAGATGGGCAATAATTTTGAAAATTGTTTATAAAAAATAAAATAAATGTATAACCCATTTTTTCCTGCATCAGTGAATCATATATGGTGCCTGCCATTGGTAAAATTAACAATATCAACTAAAGTTGGCCAAGGGTTATCACGATATTAAACTTAATTGATGAGAAACTAGCTGATTTCCTAAAAAAAATTTTGTAAACCCATTTTGAGGTAATTAAAAACATTTAAAAAAAAAATACCAAACTTTATGGTATGTGGGGAACTTGACAGATCTCCCTTAATAATGATAATGTTTCAGTCTGAATTATTTCTTTTGGGGTTTTTAAATAACAATTCTGAGAGTTCAAAAAAATTGTATGCAAAATTTTTTTAAATAATTTTTTATTAAAAATCCATGTGATTTTGTAAAAAAAAAAAAAAAAAAAAAAGTGAATGTGGATTCACTTCTTTGTGGCATAAAAAAGTCCACTAACTCCTTAAAATGGCTCTGCATGTCCCTATATATACCAATTAACTGACAAAGTCCCAAGATTCCATTTTAAACCTCAATATAAAGAAGAGACATATTGCTTTCATTTCCCATAAAAAAGTTTCCTTTGAGGGTTCAGGTATTGCAAAATAGGCTTTGTGAAATTACAATATTCCCGAATTTTGAAGAAAATGGACGAATTTGAGCATCTTCAGTTAATTAAAATATGAGCCCACCCCACGATCCAAAAAAAAATTTCATGGATAAAAATCTGATGAAACAGTTCTTTCAATATATAAATAAACAATTTATATCAGAGGTTGGGGACTATGCAAAATATTGAGAAACAGCTTCAATTTTTGACCGTTTTTAAAGAGTTTTTTCAGGATTTGAGGAAAATGAGGCAACTCATGACTTCATAATTATTGATACATGGACTAGAGAGAAAATTATGTCATTTTTAATTGGTATGCAGTCACTGAGGTTCCAAGTGAAATTTTAACATATTTTCAATGAAGACTGAGCAGATTTGATTCTTCAGAAATTCACAAGGCCAAAAAAGGTCCTATTAGTAAGTGAACTTTGTTCTCTAATAAATATAGATCTACAAAACTAACCATGCAGTTACTACCAGGTATAATAGATTGAGACAAGTAGCCAAGCTATTTACTATCCTATAGGAGATAATTTATTAATACAATATGTGTGAATTATAATTATTAAACTTGCATGAGAATGAATTATGATTTTTTTTTTTTAAGTCATATATGGCGTATTTTTGATAAGTTCAGACTAACTAAGATTAAAAAGATCTTTCTATTTGTTTTAATTACTTTATATAAGGATAGGACTTTCCTGTAAATTACACAATTTAAATCAATCGCGTTTCATAAAACTAACGACTTTTCAACTTTATACACAACCATTCCCCACGATAAATTAAAGTCCAGGCTTTTTGATATCATTGACGGCTGCTTTTTCAATAAAAATGGAACTCGTAAATATACTTACCTTGACATTGGTCATTTGCAAAATTATTTTGTTAAAAAACATTCTGATTGTACACACAAGTACTCTGAAGTTGACATTAAAAAAATGCTTGAGTTTCTGATTGACAATATCTATGTGGTTTTTGGAGACCAGGTCTTCCAACAATCTATTGGCTAGGAATTCCTATGGGTACCAATTGCACCCCGTTATTAGCAGACCTTTTTTTGTATTCATATGAAGCAGAATTTGTCCAAAATCTTGTACGTGAAAAGAAGAAAACACTTGCTGTGGCGTTCAACTCGACATTTAGATATATATCGACGACGTATTGTCAATTAACAATGGCTATTTTCATTCTTATGTCGATACGAAATATCCTGGTGAACTTGAGATAAAAGATACCACAGAGTCTGACACATCTGTTTCATATTTGGATATTTTACTTGAAAAAGACGTTAATGGTAATCTAACAACCAAGCTTTATGATAAATGTGATGACTTTAACTTTTCAATCATCAACTTCCCTTACTTATGCAGCAATATACCTTCATCACCTGCATACGGGGTATATATCTCTCAGTTGATTCGATACGCAAGAGCATGCTCTACGTATGTACAATTTCTAAAACGAGGTAAATTATTGACAAATAAGTTGATGAAACAAGAATATCAGCGGTCTCGTTTAAAGTCATCATTTCGTAAGTTCTATGGTCGATACAATGACCTTGTCAGCAAATACAATTCATCATTGAGTCAAATGCTGACTGACGTTTTTCATACTAATTGTTAGGCCATTATTTACACACTGAATTGTCGACGGATTTTTCCGTTATTTCCCGATCATGACAAGGAGCACACGGCGGGTGTGACCGGTTGGCAGGGGATGCTCACTCCTCCATGGCTCCTGATCCCACCTCTGATGTTTGGAGGTCCGTGTTTGCTCTGCTCCTATTTTGTATTGTATAATGGACTTTTGAGCTTGAATACTGTTCGTTATCTCCATATATTTCATATTAGAAATTTAAGGGTAAAACAATAATTGTTTTTTTTACTGACTCCGCATTTAAATATCAGACACAGTTTAAAGTCATTTTAACTATAGAAACATGGGGTTATTCAAGTTCAGAATCAGTGAAAATTTTAATTTGAACGTAAATAACAAATATCATGTTCAACTACACTCTATCTCGTATTTTTATTTTTTACCTCAGATATGCCGTATATAGTTTTAAGTATTAATGTATTTAAATGATGTAATTAAAAAATGCACATAAACCATATTTACATTTATTAAAGCTGAATTGAATGTCAGTTATATGGCTCATTATTGGGGTATTTAAGGGTATTCTTCAGATACCTAGGGTTTCCTTGCCAATCCTTGGTATCCTTTTTTGTGTATTAAAATATGCAATAAACAGTTACTATGTTATTTACAAAAGCATAAAACCATTTTTAGATTTATAAAGGTCCAACTGGGTGTCCTTGGGGTATTTTGGGATATTCTTCGGGTTACCCTGGGATGTCCTTGTGGTAACTTAAGGCTATCCTTTGGTCCTTTTGATTTGTGTATTGAAGTATATACAATAAACAGTTACTGTGTCATTTACAAGTGCAAATATAAACCATATTTACATGTACATTTATTAATGTTGAATTGGGTATCCTAGGGTACACTGGGATTTTCTTGTGGTACCTTAAGAGTATTATTTGGTTTTATGTGAGTGCCCTTTGGTTTTGCGTATTGAAATACACAATCATAGTTAAAACATGATTATTTATTTACACCGTATAAAATATTAAAGTTCTTCAAAACTAAACATGCATAATTGAGCTTAATTGTTTAATTAATTAATATTACTTATAAATTTTTAACTTGGGTAACTCCTCTATATTTAAGACAATTAATTTAAAAGTGTTAATTTGTCTTTCAAAAACATTTTTTTCTAATTTACAAGTGCATATAAACCATATTTAGAATAATTAAGGTTGTATATGGTGTCCCTGGGGTACCTTGTGGTATCCCTGGGGTTCCTTGTGGTTCCTTGTGATTCCTTGTGGTATCCTTGTGGTTCCTTGTGGTACCTTGTGGTTCCTTGTGGTAAAAAGACATACCCCTATAAATATTATGAATCCGCATCAAAATACGTAAAAAGGCTAAAAGCAAGAACTTTTGGTAAACAAGTTTTCCTGTATCCCCACTGTTTCAGAGATTGATCTCTCAGAAAAATCTCACAAACATCATGCAAGAGCTGGGGATAATATATTGCGACATAACAAACACAGAAGTAGTCCTTGGGCATTCATAGTGCTGGCTGAATGGTTCTGTAAATATTATATATTATTATATAATATTATACAAGATTATTTTCATAATTTTCATTGGCTGAAAGGATATCATGTGATATTTGTCCTTTTGCGATATTGAAGCGAAAACTTATCTGCAGAATATGATATCACACGACTCACCGTTCGGCTGCACCAAAGTTAAGTAAAAAACCTGATGTCATAATATAAGAAGCATGTTTTTACCATTGTGATGTAATGACAGCCAAGTCTGTTCAGTTAGGACTGTGCCAGATTATTCACTTTGAGTGATTATATAATATAACTATAATTATGGACTTCAGTGAACTATCAATATGTGGTTATAAGGACCCATGTCAAGTGATATTGACCATAGGAGTTTGCAATTTTATCAATAAAGTCAATAAAAATCACTCGATTGACCAAGCTCATGGCTAGGTCAATCGAGTGATTTTTATTGACTTTATTGATAAAATTGCGAACTCCTGTGTATTGACCTCAGACACAGAAATTGATAGTTTCGTAGCCTTGGTCGCTTTCACTTTCTATCTTCAGTCAGTATCACTGACATCGGTCCTTATAACCACATATCGACCTACACTGAAGTCCATAGGGTGAGTTAACCATGCATCAGACACATACCTTGCTTCGAACAACTTTAAGCAATAAACTTTCATTGAACCCAAGTCTCCTCATGTTTTTACTTGTTTCTGTCTTAAGGACATACGCAACGTACCTTACCTTCTGATAATTTTTCAAGATATTCTTAATTTAAGATAATACTGTCATCAGATGTTCGTAGACAAAAAATCAGCCTGCATTACCAGGGATTTTGAAAAGATATCAATTGATGAAAATTCTTGTATAATTCGAAGAAAAATATACAAAAATTACTAAACATATATTCTAGATGTTTTGTTTATCCAGACTTGTTTCAGAAGAAGTGTACAGCAGCATATATAGACATTAAAATGTAGCACACAGTTCCTTTAAGTATTGGAACTCTTCAACTCCAGGGAAAAAGACAATAAAGTTCAAACTACGTTGCATATGTCCTTAAAGGGAAAGATTTAAACTTTTTAATGATGCCGATTTTTATTTTCATGTTGTGATAAAAATACCACAAGAATGGCCTTGAAATTACGTCATATTTTGCATCATCAAAGGGGAGTAACCAGAATTTTACGATTTTGCAATTTTTAGAGTTGTCGTTCTTTTAAATAGACGTCAACGGAACGGGTCAGACCTAGGTAAAATTTATCAATAATTGATTATTTTACAGAAATTTTTCAAAAATTTTACTTCAATGTTTGAATAATATATTTTAGAGTTGTTTTTAACTAGTATGTTTATTTCACCGTACATTGGACACAAATTAACCATGCATTGAACACTTTCCGATGCATGGGTAATCACTTCCATTTTCATGTAAAACCCAAATGACAGCTGTTTTTTACAGAAATAAAAAATAGAAACTCTAAATTTTCAGTGAAAATACAAATAAGCGATATATGACGACTAGAAGTGGACTCAATTTATTTCTTTAAACTAGATGATGGTAACCCACGAGACAAAGGCGTGAGTTGCCATATTACTGGTACTGTAAAGCCTTTCTAAGGCAATGTGATGCAACTAAAATCTTTTCACATTTGTGGATCAAAAAAGTCATTCAAATTTAATTAGAAGTTCAATTTTTAAATAAAAGAATTGATAAAAATGTTTCGATATCACTCTTTTTGAAGCACAGAGATCAAGGTATGATATTTTTCTGGTTTAAATATCGTATGTCCGATGCATGGTGGATATTGTCCGATCCATGGTGAATTCTGACTTATTCCGAAAAAATCGGTTTTTAATTATATATTTTCTCAATAAATAGGGCGCGGTTGTGTCAAAAAATTATATTTTAACCACATACTACATATTAAGCTCCATTTTGATAATATTCGGTCGGTAGCGATATTGCTAGAACTTGTTGAAGTGCGAGGGTGTCCGATGCATGGTGAATTTACCCTAATTGTTTATTATTATTTTTTGGGATATATCTTAAACGGGCTATTAAAGGCCAATTGGGTGATTGGTCACAACTTCTGACAATTGATCAGAAATTTCATCTTAGGACTTTATTTGCCATTTACTGATAAAAATTCCACAGGTACGGTGTACTTGGATCTTGGTTTTTAAATATGTATGTATCTTACTGATATGTAATAAGGTACAAACATATTTAAAACCAATACCCAAGTACCCTTGAAAAATTATGGTGCTGTGACTCACCTTAGAATTGCTTTATACAATGTTCTCACACGGGAGACGTGCTCTGAAGCAGACATACTTTGTTCTTTTACTAAACTACTAGTTTTAATAGAACATTGCGTTTGCATCCAAAACTAGCTGAAAACGTTGGTACAAGCTCATAAACAAAGTCGTTTTCGTAACACAGGAAACATTGTGTAGAACCATAAATAGTAAACCATCAACACAAATTAATTTTATCCGGATTTAAACGAACGATTGCTCAAGAATAACATGTTTGATATAAACACATTTTCAGCGCTTTCCAAGTTTTCAAAGCCCATGAGCTTTGTGAAAAATGTCTGAATTATAATGTATGTCCGTTCGACTTGAAACGCAATCGTTCCCCTATTTCTCCTTCGCCTCGAGTCCTCTCAAAAAGATCAAAATTTCCGAAGTGGATAATTTCATACTCATTAAAATCACAGGAGCTTGAGGACAGGACCCCCCTGTTGAATTATCATTCAACAGTTCAATGACTATATTTGTGATATAATCCAAATATACCATCAAAAAAAAAAATTATAAAAAAATTTCTACCCCATTCTATATAGATTAAATCAACTTGTAGATACACAGTGGTTCGTTATGGTACAAATTAGTATATTTTTTTCTCAGTTGAACTCATTATAATTTTTCTTTTAGTCAAATATTGCATGTGTGTCAAGTTGTTGCGGAAATGGCGATGCTTTTTTTTTTTTTAAAAAAACTATAATTATTATTCATTTAAAGCCCAAAAAAAGTAAATTGACTGGTTTAAAACAAAAAACTTCTTATCGATTATGTCAGGGTCCTTAAATTTTGAGCCCCGTTTTCCTTGTGTCATTTGCAGATCTAGAAGGGGTCCAGAACTAATAGAAAGTTACATCGTAAAGTAGCCAAAAATGACTTGGGAATCCCTTTCCCTTGGAAAACACGGACCCCTGATAAAATGAAAAGGAGAGTCTTATAAATGAAGGAAAGCGACTTGTCGTAACCCCCCCCCCCCGCAACACACACTCACACAAGGGATTTTCTGTCAAGATTTTTTTTTGAAAAAAGTCCTGGATCCGCGTATGGTGGTTACTAACATCTGTATGTGCTTTACTATTATTTCATTCACACTTTGGCCCTTTCATTGATTTATCCACTCATGAATGGGTGATAATTGCCCACCGAACCTAGCAGGTATGTCGTACAACCATTTTTTTTCTCTATTTACAGATCATATTTTATATGGTCATTTTATAATGTCATTTTATATTATAGAGTTATAATGTCTGATGTTTTATAACATTGTGTTTTTTTTAAATCCTAAAATTGATGACAGAAAAAACGAAAAATCGAGCAGTGCCCCCCCCCCCCCCCCCCCAATTTGATATAAAATTGTTTGCTGTTGAATGTTAACCGATATCTGTTAAATATTGAATTTTAGAAAATGTCCTCGAATGACATTCCTTAATTGCATCATTTAAAAAATCCGCTTCCACTGTCAAGGTTCGATTATTCAATGGTCAGTTTTGGGATTAATACTTGATACAATTCAGGGACGTGTTTTACCAAACAACTTACGACTAAGACCAACATCTTAAGTTGATTGTAAAATTTTGCAAAGTTAATGATAACGTTTAAAATTGCTAGCAAGAAATATCTTTCTTAATTCTGTTTAAAAAGATAAAAATCATTTTCAAATTAATGTAAAAGAAAAATAAAGAAATAAGCAGAATTAAATATTGGTCTTAGTCGTAAGTTCTTTCGTAAAACAAGCCCCTGATTTATACTTACATGTGAAATAAAGGAGGAGGAAAGCAGCAAACGAACTTAAAACACTTTTTTTTTAAATATAATTTTAAAGTTACAGAATATTATGTATCTTCAAGTTGATGTGTTTCTTAACTTGTACCAAGTTTTGTTGCAATCAAATCAAAACCGTAGCAGGGGTGGATTTTGAACGATTTTCACATACTTGTATTCAGTTTTAAGTAGGTATTTGGCAACATCGATAACTAGAATTGTGTATCTTACTCCAGTAATCTCATGTACCGAGTTTTATTGAATTCAGACTAATTAATTAAACTGTATAGGATACATAAGTAGCGTTTTGCAATAGTTTTGCACATTATATTCTACTTAAATATTTTTGTCAGCCACTGCATATCATTGTTCATGGAAATGTAATTGTTTTTATGTTGTAGCATACATGTGTTCCAGGTTTTATAATTTCAATCGTAATAAAACTGTAGGAGGAAAAAGTTCTATTTCTAGTCACCATAGCAACACCGTTTGTCAAAATTAACAAGATGTGTTTGTGAAACACTGATGCCCCCGTATGGCAGCTTATGGTGAAGGTTAAAGTTTCTCAAATGCAAGTCAAAATCCAGACCAAAAGATAAAAAATGCTGATACCCAAAGAAAGGTCATATCTCAATTAATATACCTGTGAAATTTGAAAGCCCTAGCTGCAACTGTTAAAATGTTTTGGCGAAGGTTAAATTTTTTTTGTTAAAGTAAGTAAAACGTCAAGGTCAAGGTCAAAGTTACATATGTGAAGTATGAAAGCCCTAGCACCAACCATTCAAAAGTTATAGCCAAGGTTAAAGTTTTTCGAAAGTAGGTCAAACTCCTATGTCAAGATCAAAGGGTCAAAGTGGTTGGTATCCAAAGGAAGGTCTTGTCACAAGGATTACATATGTGAAGTATGAAAGCCATAGCACCAACTATTCAAAAGTTATGGCCAAGGTTAAAGTTTTTCAAAAGTAGGTAAAACTCCTTTGCAAGGTCAAAAGGTCAAAGTTGTTGGTATCCAAAGGAAGGCCTTGTCACAAAGAATCCACATGTGAAGTTTGAAACCCCAAGCACCAACTGTTCAGAAGTTATGGCCAAGGTTAAAGTCTCATAAAATTTTGCAAAAGTGGGTCAAACTCCAAGGTCGAGGCCAAAAGGTCAAATATGATGGTACCCAAAGAAAGGTCTTGTCACAAGGAATACACATGTGAAATATGAAAGTCATAGCTCCAAGCAATCAAAAGTTATGGGCAAGGTTAAAGTTGACAACAGTCAGACAGACAAGCAGACAAACAGACAGACAGGACAAAAACAATATACCCCCAGGATCTTTCGATCCAGGGGCATAAAAAGCAATAAACTGAATTATCTATATTAGTTTTGCCTAACATTTATTGAAATGGGACTGATGGATCTAGTCAAAAAGAACTAGAATCACACAATATTGTAGCTTTGCCATTGCTTTGCCAATAATATCCATATAACAATAATATCCATATCACAATAAAATCCATATCACAATAAAATCCATATCACAATAATATCCATATAACAATAATATCCATATAGCAATAATATTGATATCACAGTTAAATCCATATAACAATAAAATCCATATAACAATAATATCCATATAGCAATTATATCTATATAACAATTATATCTATATAACAATAATATCCATATAACAATAATATCCATATAACAATTATATCCATATAACGAATAATATCCGTATAGCAATGATATCCATGTAACATTGATATCCATTTAACAATGATATCCATATAGCAATAATATCCATATAACAAAAATACCCATGTAACAATAATATCAAATTATTCCAAGTAATGTTTTATTTATTTTGAACAAGTGCTGAAGGCAATTGCAATCATTACCAGTATATCTCATTTTTGCTTCTCCTTGAACGCCGTTTTATACGGTTTATATGGTCAATGGTACATTGGGGAAAATTATTATTTATTTTTACGAAATTAAAATAGACATTGCTGAAAATCTTATACCAGACAACTACAAAAGTTTATCAAAGTTCATCCTTTGGTTTTGATCTCAGCTTTATTTTTAAGTTGTTGATTTGACGATTTTCTCTTTTGATAATGTAATTAATGATCTCTTATGCGGAACAAGTTTACATGTGTCCTTTCAAGTAAGAATGGTTGAATTGCTCTCATAGAGATGAATATATGCATGGAGTTGCATGAAGTCATCCTTTATGAAATTAAATCGGATGAATTAAGTGAGGAAAAAAGTAAAATTCAGCGCCAAAGGAAGGACAAGATGAGAAAAAATATGAAAAAGTTACATGTAAACTGCTGTGACCAATATGTTTTTTTTTTAATCTTCAACGAGAATTTCAAGATCATGGAAAGGCCAAGATTATAAGGAAAGTCAAGGAAAGAACAAGATGTGTTTGTGAAACACTGATGCGCACGTATGGCAACTTATAGCAAAGGTTAAACTTTCTCAAATGCAAATCAAATATGTTGGTACCCAAATTAAGGTCTTGTCTCGAGGAATATACCTGTGAAATATGAAAGCCCTAGCAGCAACCATTGAATAGATATGGAAAAGGTTAACGTTTTTCAAAGTAATTCAAACATCAAGGTCAAGGTCAAATGGTCAAAATTAATGGTGCCTAAGGAAAGGCCTTCTCACAAGAAATATACAGGTGAAATATGAAAGCTGAAGCACCAATCGTTCAAAAGTTATGACCAAGGTTAAAGTGTTTCAAAAGTAGGTCAAACTCCAAGGTCAAGGTCAATGGATTACAAGTGTTGGTATCCAAAGGAAGGTCTTGTCACAAGGAAAAAACATATCAAATATGAAAGCCCTAGCAACAACTTTTCAAGATTTGTGTCCAAGGTTAAAGTTTTCCAAAAGTAGGTCAAAGTCTAAGGTCAAGGTAAAAGGTCAAAGTTGTTGGTATCCAAAGGAAGGTCTTGTCACAAGGATTACATATGTGAAGTATGAAAGCCCTAGCATCAGCGATTCAAAAATTATGGCCAAGGTTAAAGTTTTGCAAAAGTAAATAAAACTCCAAGGTCAAGGTCAAAGGGTCCAATTGTTGAAATCCAAAGGATGGTTTTGTCACAAGGATTACATATGTGTAGTATGAAAGCCCTAGCACCAGCCGTTCAAAAGTTATGGCCAATGTTAACTTTTTACAAAAGTAGGTCAAACTCCTATGTCAAGGTCTAAGGGTCAAAGTTGTTGGTATCCAAAGGAAGGTCTTGTCACAAGGATTACATATTCTAAGTATGAAAGCCTTAGCTCTAACTGTTCAAAAGTTATAGCCAATGTTAAAGTTTTACAAAAGTAGTTCAAACTCCAAGGTCAAAAGGTCAAATATGGTGGTACCCAAAGAAAGGTCTTGTCACAAGGAGTACACATGTGAAGTATGAAAGCCCTAGCACCAATCGTTCAAAAGTTATGGCCAAGGTTAATGTTCGGGAAAATTTTGCAAAACTGGGTGAACTCCAAAGTCAAGGTCAAAAGTTCTAATATGGTGGTACCCAAAGAAAGATCTTATCACAAGGAATACACATGTTAAATATGAAAGCCATAGCTCCAACTACCAAAAGTTATGGGCAATGTTAAAGTTTTTGTGGACAAACAGACAGACAGACAGACGGACGAACAGGGCAAAAACTATATACCCCCGAATCTTCGATACGGGGCCATAAAAATCTGACAGAGCTGAATAGCTATTATCAAAGTGTACCGTTGTATGAAGTTAGATAAAAATATCTTGAATTGTGAAGTTAAAGGTCAAAGGAAAGGTCAAGGTCAGAAAAATATGACCCAATTGAATTGCTTTAACCACTTTGCGACAATGTACAAAGTTTGATGAAAATATTTTAAAGCAATATGAGCTGCAACTTGTATGTCGGAAATTTTTGTTGCATTATTGTAATTAACTATTTCAATAAGAGAAAAAAAGAACGTTTATAAACTTCTCTTGCGATGGAAGAACTAATCTTAAGCTTTGATTGAAGCAAAATTACATTATTGTCGTCGTGTACAATATTGATTTCTTATATAATACTTTACATTCCATTGTACAGAAATGTTTCTTCTGTAACAAATTGATACTTTATTTTAGTTTAATTGATCATAAAGGTTTAAATTACATAGGGATTAAGCATAACAGCAGAGACAGCAAAATAAAATTCTCAAAAATGCAGCTCATATTGCTTTAAACAATTTCTTTGAAAAGAAAATACAAAATAAGGAATAATTATAGGTCAAGGTAATAAAGAAATTTAATATTAGAAATTTGACATCCTGGAATAGCTTTTACCGATCTGCATTAGTGTATAAAGTTTAACAAAAATTATCTTAAACATTTTCTTTTAAGGACATATGCAACGTAGTTTGAACTTTATTGTCTTTTTCCCTGGAGTTGAAGAGTTCCGATACTGAAAGGAAGTGTGTGCTACATTTTAATGTCTATATTTGCTGTTGTACACTTCTTCTAAAACAAGTTTGGATGAACAAAACATTTAAAATATATGTTTAGTAATTTTTGTGTATTTTTTGTTGAATTATACAAGAATTTTCATCAATTGATATCTTTTCAAAACTCCTGGTAACGCATGCTGATTTTTTGTCAATGAACATCTGATGGCACTATAATCTTAAATTAAGAATATCTTGGAAAATTATCAGTAGGTAAGGTACGTTGCATATGTCCTTAAACTAAGATAAATGCAAACTGAGGAATAGTGATATCAATGTCATAGGGAAGGGTAAAGTCAGAAATTGTGACACAGTTGAATAGTTCTTACCAATATACATGTATATCAGTGAGTGACTTAAAAATATCTTTAACAAATTCTTTGACACTGAGCTAAAACAATATAAAGAAATCAATGTTGATTTTAACTTTAAGGTGATATAGGGAAGGGCAAGGTCAGAAAAATAAGACAAAGCTTAATGTTCTCACACACAAATATGTATTTGTGTACGAATCTTACACAGTTACTATGAAAGCGTAAGGTACAGACAAATGGACTGAAGGACAGGATCTTTTATGCGCCGACTATTTTCTTGAAGGGGCATAAGAAAAATTAAAATAAGTAAATGACACTTATACATGGATATAGTATATATGGTGGCTATTAAACTTTTTTTTTCCAGCTAGCTTTTTTATAGCTAGTATTCTAGCATGTAGCAATAGCTTAACCCTACCCAGAGAATGCTCATATAAGAAATCTAAAAATATAGATGTCCTTGAACCATTTTTGTTAAATAGTTCGTTTCTTACTATATTTCAGCATCATGAGAATTTCTCGTAGCGGCTTTATCGTGATCGGACTAACAACGTCATTTTGTCTCCTGCTTTTTGTTTATTTCAAAAAAACTTCTCCTGATCACCACGTTCTAGAAACCAATCGAGAGAAGTACAATACTGAATTATTTAGGATAACATTTGAAGAGAACTCAAAAGGTTCGCCCAGTGAATACTTTGTCGATCGTTCCTTAGATGAGGAAATTAAAGAGAAGCTGACACTTCTGCTCAAAGGAGAAGCCTTCAATCCTATTGTGCGAAAACATGTAGAAGATCTTAAAGAGAAAGGTGAACTTGGGAAAGATGTTCATGTCGAGACTGTTAGTCAGTCCGCCAAATCTCGTCTGCAGCCGAGGGACTCTGTACTGACACCCAAAGAACTCAAAAATATTCATAAATGTTTAAGCACCAGCAAGCAAGATTACGATAGAAATTACGCCGCTTTTTTTGGAGGTGACCATGGGAAATTACAAAATATTCGAAGGACCCACCATAAATATCTGAACGAAAAAACTTTGATGATAGAGGTTGGGGGGAACTGGGGCTGGGATGCAGGGAACTTCTCAAAACTCTATAACATGTACTATGTCATACTGGAGCCATTAACGCCATATACAGATATTCTGGAGAAAAAGTTCCAAGGAAACGAGAAAGTTAGTATTTATAATATAGGGTTAGGCTCTAAAACTGAAAGAGTGATGGTTAATCTAGAGGGTAATAATGCATGTGCAACGACAAAGTTTTCCAAGAAGAATGGAACAGTCCCCATATACATCATCAATGTCATTGACTTTTTAACGGACCTGGGTAGGCATATCTTCCATTGTTATCAACAATATGCATGTATTCCTAGGAGGCAACCATAACATAATCATAAACATTTCGCCTTCTTTAATATGCTTAAGACTGCTCTTAATTTTCGTTTCTTTTTTCCAGGAATTGGACTTTATGATCTAGATTTGATGACGATGAATTGTGAAGGATGCGAATATGAAGTTCTAGAGACATTAGTGGAATTTAACCTCATTGAAAAAATCCGAAACATTCAGTGGGCAACTCACACCCAGATCAGCATCCATGACCCGTGGGGGCGCTATTGTCGTATTCAGGAACTTCTCAGACGGACACACTGGTCCACTTACCAGTATAAGTTTAACTGGGAGAACTGGCGACGGAGGGATTTAGCTTAGAGCCTCCTCCATTAGAATCATGCACTCAGTCTTTCTGGTCAACTGCGCCTCCGAAAATCATTTGAAGAGCGTGCATGTACTAATACCTCTCATAAAGATTGGTCATCACTCATCAGGTTAGAGCGTATAATAAACTTTCATATTTGAAGAATGTGGTGGCCTCAAAGCTTTGGACACACGGGATAAACAAAATTATAACGTGATTATTTCATTCAATCGTGTACTTTAGAAGATTATAATCATATGGTGGAATATAGATATTATATATGTAGTCTGAATATTGAATAGTGCGTGCTCATTTCAATACTTTTTAAAGGTATTTTTCGAAAGGATTTTTACGCTATGTATTCTATTTCAAACAGTAAAGTTGAATATTTGTAGACAGTGTTCTTACATAAAATCTTTAGTACTTATTGATACCAAACTTTCACGAACACTCTTATAAGGAACCGGTAGCTTTGATGAACGCCCCGGAGTAATACAATCGATATCAACTGTTAGCAGAACTGAAAATCCTTTAATTAAAATTAATGTGTGATAGTAATAAAAAAATAGAAATCTAAAGCACGTGGACTTGGTATTTGTAAACGTTTTGTGAAAGAAAAACATATAAGTTACATGCCAATAACAGGCTGTTTCTCTTGTCGAAACTCGACCAGGAAGACAAATTCCAATTCTTACGGCTTAAATAATACATAACAATATATACATGTAGAATATTATACATTTTAAAGATTGGACATTATATAAATAGTGCACGTTTTTGAGGGTAACAGTTGAAATTGACACCCCAAGGAAAATCATTGTCAACCGACGCGTCAGCGGAGGTTGACAATGGTTTTCCGAGGGGTGTCAATTTCAACTGTTACCCTCAAAAACGTGCACTATTTATTTTATTATACTGAATGTCTTTTTGATTTCGGATGTCATAAAAAAATTCGGAGATCTTCGTTAAGGTCACGCTTAGAAAGCTTTCAAACTCCCCGCTTCTATTTTTCTCAATAAGAAAGCTTCGGAAAAGATTTACCAACCTCTTTATTGTTTGTTTGCTACTCAAAAAGTCCTTTATCATCTAAAGTTTGTACTCGCAAGGATGTTTCGTCTGTCGTTTGTTGTTTTCAAGTAAGCTACATCGGACGCAAGCTTATATTGACGTCGTTTATTCGGCTTCTTTCAAACGCACAACCGACGTTTTGAGAATTCTACGGTGAACCGTACGCGCATGATTTGAACGCATGTGATATTTTCGTAATGTTACCCGTTGTCAAGTGTGTTGCTAACGCTGAGGGTAACATTACGGATTGTTAAATGCGTCTAAACCAATCAGATTTTAGTATTTAACATGAAAGTATAATAAATATACATAAATACATGCAACTATGTGATCACAAAATTTATACGCGTCTATTTCTAATAATAAACTCCTTCTCTATTAAATTTGAAATTGTTACAATGAAAACTTTTTGACTTGTCTTCTCACGATAGATATACATGTAGACATTCAGACAGTCAAAGCGATATTGCCCCAAAATGTATTTGTGTCTTTCTCTAATTGTAAAGTACAGCTCAATTCTTTTTAAACTTAACATGCTTCTTTGAACTAATTAAATGCATTTTGGAAGTAAATACCGGTATATTGCTACTCAACATAGGCGCAAACAAAGGATTTGATGAATTATGCTATTTTATTAAATTTTCTTTATTCATGAATGATAATTGTCTTTGAATTTCTCAGTTGCTCTCCCTTTTGTACGAATAACAGCCTTACTGCAATTATAGGCATGTTAAGAACTACGTCCTCACGCACAGATCCTTATTTTGGAATTGAGCATAGTTCTAGCTAGTTCTAGCTAATTTTTACTTCGTTTGAATCTTGACTGTTCCAGGGCAAAGGAGTTGAGTTATGGCATTCAGCGAAATAACTTATAGACATGCAGATTGTTTTCTGGGAAATAGTAGACAAGCACACATGGTACTAACAGCTGTCAATACCTCCCTGATGGACACAAGAGAGTTTCTCAAAAGTAAAGCGTTTTTTACATTAATGAAACTGGGAAACAATTTCGATTGAAACGCAATTTAAAACATTTTAGTTGAATTTACGGTGGAATTAAAAATTTTGGTAAAAACATGCCAAAGGCTAAAAAACACATGTGGGAACACTTAGCGGGAAACGTACTCAATTCCCAACACGTTCTGTGAAAACCTAGTTTAGCGCAAATCTAGTGACATTATGGCTGTTATTCTAACAAAAGAGAGTGGAACTAAATATTTGAAAAGAAAATATCAATCATGAATGCGAAATGCAAAATTCCTCACATCTTGTGTTTGCACTTTAGTAGCAATATATTTATGTCCAAGTTTGCATTTAGTTCACAAAAGCATGTTAGATTTAAAAGTTTTTTGAGCTGTATTTATATACAATTATGAATATTTGAAAATGTTACCTTGAAAACGGTCTGCTTTATAGCGTCACATTAAAAGTGTTGACAGATAGACGAATGGATGGACAGACGGGCCTCAAAATTAAAAGGTGTCTTTATTGATCAATTTTTGTATAAAATTTGAAATACTAGTAGTTATGATGAACATTGTTTGAGTTATTGTTTCACAATGGATATAAATTCAGACATGCATATAGACAGACAGACAAAGCAATATGACTCCAAAAATGTACCTTGCTCTTTATAATAAAGTGCTTCTATACGAAATTTGAAAACGTTACATTGAAAACAGTTATTTAAGGGGAAGAAGGACCTTGAGCTGAAAAAATACTTGTCATTCAATTTTTTTTAATATTTTGTATATTTCTAATTAACTATGTCCCACATATCTTAAAGCAGAAATATCATTAGGTTTCTGACCTTATTTTCGAGATATTGATTAACGAATACTATGTCCTACAGTATCTAAGTGGAGTTTTAATTCTCCATGTTTCCGGGCTCATTACTCTGTCCACAATAGACTGCTTCACGATAACTGCGGCACTGCTCTTTTGCAGAGCAAAATGATTTGTTTTGGTGAAATATGACGTAAAAGCAATTGTTTAAAATACGTCATTTAATTATCTGTCAACAAAAACTTCGCCAAATGTTATTAATTTGCCCTGCAAAAGAGTAGTACCGCAGTTATCGCGAAGGGGCTTATGGGATTTTTTAAGCATTTATAAAAAAAAAAAAAATATGTAAGTGAACATGTATCTTTTAAAATATTTTAGAGTATGAATAGGGTTTAAAATTCGAAAAAGCAAGTTTCTTCTATTACTCTGCATCTGTATAGGGAAAATTACGTACTTTTTAAGACAGCTTAAACAACATAAAACGTAATTTACAAAAAAATCTATCATTCAATATTTTTAAATTTACCTTGAAATGCAAGTCCTTCGTATTATTGATTAACTGTAAAAATTTCGAATGGTGAAGCTGACCTCAATATTGCACAGGGCATCGTGAAAGAAGGCATAAGCATGACAAAACCGTGTCATGTTTACATTTCCCGAGTACGGGAAAAACCAACTATGACGTCACGCGTAAGCTAAATAAGCGAAATAAGATATACCTACATAAGATTTCCGTCATCAGCAATGCAAAAAAAAATTTTGCGTTCCCCGTTTCTCAGAATATTTCATCACATACTGATTATGACCTGTTTTTACATAAAAATACCGTCCCTGTATTCACCGAGTATGATCTTGCTGTACTAACAGATCGTGTATGACGTCACCGACTTGTTGGACGCGCAGTTTAGGGAAACAGAGGAGTGGATCAAACAATTTCATAATTTGTTAATGTTTACAAGAATGTTAACACTTTTTATTTTTCTTATATAAGATGGTAATCAAAGTAAACAAATTGTCAAAAATTAATACAAGAACTGATGGTTTACACGTTTTGCACTTATATAAACGGAGACTATGACGTAGTTAAACAGAGTCATGTGACCATGTGTCCTTCATCCCACCACTGTCTAGTTATAGTAGAGTATGCCAGGGCATCAACGATAGTTGGAAACGTGAGATAATTTGCATAACGGGCGAAGTCCGTAATGCATAATTAAATTATCCCACATTTCCAACTATCGTTGATGTCCCTGGCATACTCTACTATAATTAAACAGTGATTCCTTATATTTCCATTTCATTGTGAAATAAAATTGTAAATTTAGATTTTAAAAAATGTAGACTAATAGATTTAAATTACACGAGGCCTCACATGTCAATTTCAATAGTCCCCGCCCACTGACGTCAAACACAAAGGCAGCCGCACGAGAATTACATGCATATTAGGCCTTCTTAGCCCCTGACCTTTTGTTTGGCGAAATTTACATTCCGGTAGAGTGATCAAGAAATCAACTCAACTAACTTTCTCAGAGTTATCACACAGAAAACAAATAGAAATGGAAATATAGAGATATCGCGTCCCAACAAAACACAAAGTGGTTTGAACCAAATTCTATCGTCTTCCTCTCATAGTATTCTTCTGTACAAAATTTGAAATCATTGCATTAAAAACTGGTTACATTATGACACAAAAAAAGTATCATGAATATACAGACAGACAGTTATGACCAGATATGTGTCTTGCTCTTATAGTGGAGTACTTCTGTACAAAATTTGAAAACATTACTTTGAAAACTGTTTGTTACTATATCACTACAAATTTAAAAGTTTTAACGGACGGACAATGTGATTCTAATTAAGCTACCGCATTTCATGTTTAATTTATTTTTGCAAGGAAGACAAGTTGAATTAGCTTTGAAAGTATTTGAACAGATGGCGGAAGAAGCTTGATTTTGAAAGATTTCCTGCTATAATAAACAAATGTTTCTGCAACATAGAATTTGAATTCAAACAATTTTTTTTATTTGTTCAGATACTAGTACATGTATATCAAACTATAAAAACACACCCTTTAAATTCCAAATTACCTCCTTGATGTAAAAACATTTTTTCCATCTTCCCTTTTCCAAACGTGTATCTTTACGTCAGAAATTCATAGTCCGAAACTTTATACTGGCAGTGAAGATTTAAATCATTTAAAAGACATTTAAATAAAAAACACGGCGTTGAAAAACTTTAAAAACATTTAGTATCAGCAGATATTATTTGGATAAAACATTTGTGTTTCTGGATATCAAGCAGGTATAGATACTAAAATGATGTCGTACAAATATTGACCTTGCAATACCCGGCATAACCTTTGCATTTTTTTTTTACACAGAAAGAGGCTAACATATTGCTATGAAAAGATTAGAATACCCAGGCAGTATGCTATTAAGATATGTTAAATATTAATAGAAATATGTTTCTGAATCAGCTTTGACGTCCTAGGACATCATAAGTCTCTGGAATCCCGCGTCTTCCATGATCACGTGTTTGCGAACCTCGTTTTCACCTCCTTTTTCTAGTTCCTTGAACCTCTCACAAAGCGCTTGGTGTTGACTTGATTCAATTCCTACAACCAACTCTTTGTTTAATTTACCGAAAATGGACGAGAATGAGAATGTGGCAGGTCTGATACAGTTCAACAGAAGCCTGGAGTCACAGTTCTGGATCAAAAACTCCATCTTACTCTCGGCAACAATTTCAAAAATAATTCTACTAATGATTTCGTGTTGGATGTAGTAAGTTTCTTTATCCACACTTATTTCAATGTAGTCGTCCATTAGTTTTTCTACCGCTTCTTCAAAATAATCATCAGGCGGACTGAACACAGCAAAAATGGTGCGTATAGACCTCAGTAGGTGTTGGTTTAAATTGTCAAGACGGAAGCTGCCATTGTGAATCATAGCGTATGTTAAGGCCACGAACTTATGCTTCTCGGAAACTTTCGGTGATTCTGACATTTGTTTCAAGTCGTCTTTTATGACACTAAAAGGTTCTGCACAGAATCTTTCGACATTCGCTAAAACTCGACGGTTCTTGCACGAGAATGCCATCAATTCTGGTAATCCTATGACACATTTTTCTTTGGAAACTAGAAGTTCAGCTTTTGTTGAACTTAAAGCCGCTTCTTTAGATTTGTCATCAATAGGGATACTCTCGGAAATGTGGACACTGGCGTTGTTAGCTTGTAATTGTTTGGACAAAATTTCCCTAAAGTCTTTTGAACAAAGAGTCTCCTTGTCTCGCATAAAATGCAGTCTTGTGTCTTTTAAGATTTCACACTGCGATAATACATTTTCATATTTCTCCCACACCGTGTCTCGCACGGCGAGAATTACAAAACATTTACCACGAGCATTCAGAAACAAATCAGTCAGTCCTTTAGCTAACTCCTCCACCTGACTCGGTGCGTACCACTCCTTAATACAATCCTGGAGGAGAACAAAACAGGTACAATTTTCGTACACACCTTTCTTCCAGTCGGATATGTTGTGAACAGTCGTGAATTTACAGGTGCTGCTGACGAAGTTAAGGGCACAGTCGAGGACAGCTTGTTTTGCCAGAGTCGTCTTGCCGCTGCCCCACTTGCCGACTATAGACAGTGCCTCTAGGGACCGTAACCGGGAACCCAGATTCTCGGCACTGGGGGGTTTATACAGGTTATCCACCTTTAAATTTACTGAAACATGAAAATTAATGAATCTCAGATGTCAGATTAAGTACATGTATTATGCTCTGGTTAATTGTGGTACGAATTGCAATTTTTTTTGGTAACGAGGAGAGAGATGCATGCCAGCATTTGGGATTGGAAATTGTTGTATTTATTTCAAACCAATGAATAACATGTTTAATCATATCTATATATACGTATGCCAATTCGTGCTTACAACTCTTCAGGAAGCACATCCAGGGGCTGTTTCCCTCATCATTGTCATCTAACATATCATCTGAGAATGGATTCGTGTCATCTGAGAATGGATTCGTGTCATCTGAAAATACACTCATCGTTTAGTGTGCAAAGTACCTTTAGCATAAAAAGGAAAGTTATTATTATTTCCGCCTATGTGTTTTCCGCCTACGTTTACCTGTGTAATTTACCTTTAGAAAAGTTCTAATATTTTTTTTTTTCAAAATGGTCCTTCACACAGAAAGATAAAAGTGTAATTTTGAAATGAATTACCTGGTTTGACCATATCTGGTTCACTTAGTTTCTTGCTTAGCAGCTTCTTCCCTTGTTCCTCATTATCTGCAAATATTTTTAAGAAAAAACAAAAATTTTGGGGATAAATGTTTTAGCTTTAAACTTGTGTGTCATAGGGCAATAAAAAATTCCTCTTTCTACTTACCAAGGTGAATGTGCGTGTCTTCCTTCCTTTTGTCTTTCTTGAACCTGTGAAACATTCTTGGAATACTTTGCTCTGTAAAAAAGATAGATAAATTTAAAAGAAAACTGCAGAACTATACTTTGAATGACCATGCATAAAAATGGCTGTCGATGTCTAAACGGCTTGATTTCCTTATGATAAATGTATTAAAGCTAACTATGGCTTAAACATATTGAAAAGCAACCGGAAATAAAGTATGTTGGTACATGTGTCATACAAAAGTACACAAATGATTTTTTATTCCGCTATACTGAATAACAAGACGCCCAAGGTTCTGAACAGTCGCTAATTAGGCTGGCTGAAATTAATTCTACGTTTAACGTCACCTAAAAAATTCAAATTCTACGAGGGAGGGAAAAAATAAAGAAAATTTTCAAACAAATGAGTATTCACTGATTTGTGCATCATGTATGCTTATTATTTGATGATCAATTTTAGTAAATCTGTCAGTATAAATGTTAGACTTATCTCAAATATACCCAACACAGGGCCCAAACGTTAGACTTATCTCAAATATACCCCACACAGGGCCCAAATGTTAGACTTATCTCAAATATACTCCACAAAGGGCCCAGATGTTAGACTTATCTCAAATATACCCTACACAGGGCCCAAATGTTAGACTTATTTCAAATATACCCCACACAGGGTCCAAATATTAGACTTATCTCAAATATACCCCAAACAGGGCCCAAATGTTTCCTATTAAAATGGAATGCAGTTCTTAGTTGCTAAAAGTAAAAGCAAACGTACCGTAATTAAATACAAACTTTAAAAATGTTGCCGATTTTTTTTTTTTCAAAGTGCTAATTTCTCCCAAACCTACGCGCGTGGGTGATGTTAAATATAGAATTAACTTTGGACAGCCTTACACGGTAAATAGAGTTCTCTCGTAACAGGTACAAAGACAGGATTATATTGTATAATGATATAATCTATATGTATTTCAACAGCTAATTTCGCAATTCATTACTATAGGGATTTGAAGTTTTCTTATTCGAAAAGTGAGCAAGATGTAGTACATAATATATTTAGCCACAGAGTAACCCATACGTGACCTTATGATCCGCGCCCTGTTTCCATTTCCAAGATGCTACAAGAATAGTTAATGCTGATTCAAGAGTTTCCAAGAAGCTCGAAATATGTATGATATGCGAAATAGGATAGAAAATAGTGAGACACTGAAAATCTTCATCAAATAACTTCAAAACTTGATTGAAAATCGTGAAGCTGCAACGTGGATGACATTTATCTCAGTGAGGCTGTTTACAAGTTGACGCTTACTTTTCCCTCCCCTGGATCCTGACCTCCTCCTCATAACAAAGACCACCACACCTACTACCAGTAAGATAACCACAATGGGTACCGCTACAGCGATGCCCATACATGCCGGTCCACAGGAAGTGGACTCCTCTTGGGGAGTGGGCGCCGTCGTGGACTGATTATTCATTATGAGAGAATATGTAATGGATGTTGTTCTACAACGATATATGTGCACAATTCATATACCATTGAACAAATAAGTAGTATTTAAATGAAGGTAATGTTATGATCATGTTACAATAGAATTTTGTAATTCATTTATAAATTATGTGCTGCGCCCCTTCTCTCATTACTTTGATTACACAGCAAATGACTTTTAATATGAATGGGAAAAGATCGTTTACCCTGACAATCAAGACGCGAAGCAGCATTTGTAGCTCAGTTGTACATTTAGTACCAGTTAATACATGCATAATACAGACTGTATAATGACTTACCTTCCGTTTCTCACTATGCTGTGTTTTATTTTTACTTGTATTAATCAATAATAATAAACTATTATACACACGTACAAGTGTGAAAGAATCCGCTCAATATATTTCACTGCAGAATGCATGTTCTTGTGGCCTCATTCTGTTTACTGGGAGGTAAAATTTGCATGATGCTAATCTAATGCGGCACAATAAAACCCTCCTGTAAATAATGTACACTGTTTTGCTGCTGTAAGATACCAGTAATCCTTCATCGTCGGAAACCCACAGTCGGTCTCTCTTCTCTTACTTATCTTAGGTAAGAGAAGCGAGACCGACCGTGAGTTTCCGACGATGGTAATCCTTTTGAAATCCCCCTTTCCCAATGTAATTTTTGTTTTATTGACTTGGTGAAAAAATTCCTACGTTTTATATTTTTTGCACATTTGCAAACACATAATAAATTCAAAGAATTCCAACACTTCAGAATAGCATCTGTTCACATACCTTTGGTGAGTGCTCATAGTGCAGGCAGGATCTGTAATACAGAAAAACTATAATGTTCAGAACCTTAGTACTGTGCTTGCTCTAACCGAATAAATAAAGAAAATAGCGGGGAGATATTACATTTGAAGACTTCGTTAGAACTATAAGTGTTCTCAGGACACGTGTAATTGGTAGACTTGCAGACGACAGATTCCAGTCGATGTTCCTCACTTATAAAGACCGGACATCTTCCTGAAAAGAAAAAAAAGAGCATGGATATCCTTATTGATCTGATTTTTTTCCTAAGATGACTGTAGAAATTAATGGAGAAAGATTGTAATTTACCATAAACATTCTGGGTGTAACGGACAGACAGACAGACGATGAGATCAGAGATACCTCTATTATCAAAGACACAGGAAAATACTACGTGTTGCTTCAATTTTGAAAGTACTTGAGGACACCGTTGTACCTAGCTAATACCACTACAATAATAAGTAAATAACCAGTAAAGGAAACCGAGAGACCAGTAACATTACATCCCCCCCCTTTTCCCCATCAAATAGAAGCATTTTTAGATTAAAGTTACCTCTCTTTGACTTTCATTCAATTCACCCAGATTCAAAGAATCTTGCAGTTTACTCCTCAAATGTACAGTCTAATTCAATCGCTTGTTACCTAACATGCATGCTTTTTGTTAAATAAGTTTCGTATTACTCTACATGGTCAACTCAACTTAATCCCTCTCACAACAATAATACCAAACAAACCAAAAATTTACTTCCAAAAGAAGTAAATAGTTTTAAGGTTTACCATCCCTAATAGGACCTAATTCTCTATCCATCACGTACATGTATATAATACTCTGATATTAATTCAAAGCATTTTACAGTAGAAAAGGATTTACCAAGAGAAAGTTTCAAAAATGTAATTAACTAAACAGTAATTAATTAACAGAAATTGCATTGAAGTCTATGGAGACAAGCGATTCTTTTGAAATAAAAATTCAAATAATAAGAATTTCAATAAATACTGTGGTGGAAAGATGCATGAAATCCTTAGAAATATAATGACAATTTAAAAGATTTTTTTTTTACCGTATAGATTTTTTAAAATTGATTTTTATTGCTTAAAAAAGAGGGGGATAACTCTTCAACAAAGGTCAAGGTCATAAATTAGGACACGTTCCATTCTTACATGCTTATAGTAATAAATGGGAATTATGTCTAAATATACTGAGTATTCCACCCGTACACATCTGTATTCAAATTCATTGAATCTGAGGCTATTAGGGATGGAATACCTTAAAAAATACTTCTGCTTCAACCTACACCAGGCATAGCTGCAGAACTGTAGCTCTCTGAAAAAAAATTGACAGACCGGAGAGCTACTGTGCCACCCATAGAAAAAAACTGTATATTTATTGCGCACAAAAAAGTGCGCTGTTTCTCGATTTATTTCTCCGTATTTTTAAACTGCAATCTCTATATATTACTGACCGTGTGTTCCTTACACATTTTTGCACTATTCCCACATCAAAACATTTCCTATAACCGTTGTTAATAGCCCTCCTGGGCCTGAAATGAAGACTATCCAAAATCCCACTTGTTAATACTGCCATTTTGGGTGGCTCGACAATTCGGCCAAACGCGCTTCGTAAAGATGTCAACTACAAGAGTAGTTGATAGAGGTCTAAGGAATTTTTTTGAAATTGAGCTTTTGTGCAGTTGAGGTAAGAATTTGGAGAAATAAATCCAGAACCGAGCGCAACTTTTTGTGCGCAATAAATATACAGTTTTTTCTGTGGGTGGCACTGTAGCTCTCCGGTCTGTCAATTTTTTTTTTTCGGAGAGCTACAGTTCTGCAACTACACCAGGCACACACCAAGCTGTCTGTTTGTATACGCGGTATACATTGTACGTTAACTCGGACAGTAAAAGGAAGAAAGCGGTACTACTGACTATCAACTATTCACAATGTGTTTTATTGAAATTTATTATACCTCTACTGATTTTTCACTATATAAGAATAAATCTTCACTACATAAGAATAAATCTTCACTACATAAGAATAAATCTTCACTATATAAGAATAAATCGATATATTTTGCTGATACCCTGAAAATCACCGTAAAAAGACTGATTCCCTGCAAAAAAGTGTGTCTTTTTTGATAAATTTATAAACACCTTTTGGAACACCTAGCAATTTCTTTTAATCATATAAAAAGTTCCGATATGTTCCAAAGAAAATCATGAATATTCATAACGCAGCTCAGTTAAAATTACATATAAGAAGGAGGGGCCTAATATATATATATATTTATATATATATATATATATATATATATATATATATATATATATATATATATATATATATATATATATATATATATATATATATCACGTTACTTTATCATATATATTAATAAACAGAATATTGCTTGCAGATACATAGATCACTTATTCAGCTGCAAATACCTTTGATTGACTTTATTTATTTATTTTATCTACATTCTCAGTAATCAATATTTCCATTGCACACCTTATAATTGCACTGCATATAAAATACATCATGTAGAATTGCAGTTACGAGTTTTGAAACTGGTCCAATTTTAGTATCGGTATAATAAAAAGGTAAAGTATATCATTGAGGGAGTCAGCAGAATTCCAGTTCCCCTCGAGCAAACTTATTAGCCTCGGGAAATAGGCTTGCTCTTGCGGAACTGAAGCCTTGATGACTCCCCAATGGTATATTTTAATTGTATATTGTCGAAGGGGCTGTGGTTTGCATAAGAAAAGTTGTATATTATCTCTGTATTTTTTTTTATGGATGTTGCTATAAACCTTTTTTTGTTATACATGTATTAAAAAGTATGCTCATATCACAGGCACCTGATGTTACTTATTTTTTTTTTATAAAAAAAAAAAAATTATACCTCCTACGTAAGACTTATAAGTTAGGGGTTATATATTTTTTATTAAAAGAAAAATAAATAACGTCAGGTGCCTGTGGCTCATACTGGCATATCTGGAGACCACAAAACTCCACAAGGCAAGTAAACCACACAGTTAAATTACACATGTTTGTTGTATAATTTGTGAAATAGGTAATATTGATGTTGCCAAATTTAACACTGCAGGAAAATCACAATTGATATCTATAGCAAACAATTCTGTCTTTTTCCTCACTGATAGCAGGGAATTCTGAGATACTCTTTAAAAAAGTGAACAACAAAAGAAAGAACAAAGAAACAAAATAAACTCTTGTAATTTCCTTAAAGTTTCAAGTTTTACAATTTGCCTGCATATTACTCCTTAAAATTTTATTATTCTTTTTTTAAGTAATGCAATCATGAGTCAAACAGTGCTTCTTTTATCCCCCTTTTCAAGTTTCCATGCATGCATCCTAAATGCCTTAGAAATGAATATCCTTGGTTGTTTTGACATATGCCCCCACCCCGTCCCCACCCCTACAACCCGCAGCCTCTTGGATCAATAACTTTTTCTTAATCATTAAAATGGTAGTCCCCTCAAAAGACTAGATTAATGCTTCACAATGACGCCGATACGATCAAAGCTCCAGGTCACTCCTCAATATGTAATAGTTATTGTATATTTATTATGGTGTATCCTGATTTATTTGGACGAAGGGCGGTGACGAGTGCGAAGCACGAGTCTCCACCCCTTCGTACAAATAAATCAGGATACACCATAATAAATATTCAATAACTTTCTTGTATCATGGCCAATCAAAGCTTCAATAATTGTTATGTCCCAAATTTTCAAGCATGATTTTTTAATTACGCCAATAAAAATTATAGTTTTTGTCAGGGGACCGCATGGATCCTTCCCTCCAGTATTTTTTAATACGCACATTTTATGCGTGTGTTCATGAGAAAGGACGTCGGATTGTAGCTCTCCAACTTAATATAAATACGGATTGTTAATGAAATTCATAAGAATATCAAGGATGAAAAATTCGAAGTTGAAGATTAAGGGAAATTCAGGTGTTAATCGAAAATCAAGAAAAAAAAGATATCCGTTGATCATTTGACATACTCGAGAGCTGTGGCATGAGCAAAAACGCTGTATTAATAATTCTTCATCTATGGATGCAGTGCAGCTGAACTTTATTCTAGTTGAGCAAAGAATACAGCAAAGATGGTATATCCTGCTAAAAGGCTCTATTATAATAGGTGTGATATTTTAAGATATTTATTTGTGGAATTCATGTCAAAAATTTGATTTCTCGATGCGGTGGAACGAATATTTGCAGAGTTCCGTAAAAACATATCGTATTTTGGGATAGAAGTGCACTGTAATTTATGTGAAAGACATTTATTTCATTGGCAGAAATTGTGTCTTTGTATATAACAAAGCCCATTTGTATCATGGCTGTAGTGTTTTTCCTTTGAAGTAAAGTGTACAATAACTGGAGATACACCGATGGGCGGAGCCAGCAAAAACTGTGCAGTGTAAATAAATTATTGAACACCAAGGCGATTTCAACATTTTAAATTACATGTATATTGAAGAATCACAGAATTAAATGGGCTTTGTTATATATTATATTTCGTATTTTGGGATAGAAGTGCACTGTAATTTATGTGAAAGACATTTATTTCATTGGCAGAAATTGTGTCTTTGTATATAACAAAGCCCATTTGTATCATGGCTGTAGTGTTTTTCCTTTGAAGTAAAGTGTACAATAACTGGAGATACACCGATGGGCGGAGCCAGCAAAAACTGTGCAGTGTAAATAAATTATTGAACACCAAGGCGATTTCAACATTTTAAATTACATGTATATTGAAGAATCACAGAATTAAATGGGCTTTGTTATATACAAAGACACAATTTCTGCCAATGAAATAAATGCCTTTCACATAAATTACAGTGCACTTCTATCCCAAAATACGAAATGTTTTTACGGAACTCTGCAAATATTCGATCCACCGCATCGAGAAATCAAATTTTTGACATGAATTCCACAAATAAATATCTTAAAATATCACACCTATTATAATAGAGCCTTTTAGCAGGATATACCATCTTTGCTGTATTCTTTGCTCAACTAGAATAAAGTTCAGCTGCACTGCATCCATAGATGAAGAATTATTAATACAGCGTTTTTGCTCATGCCACAGCTCTCGAGTATGTCAAATGATCAACGGATATCTTTTTTTCTTGATTTTCGATTAACACCTGAATTTCCCTTAATCTTCAACTTCGAATTTTTCATCCTTGATATTCTAATGAATTTCATTAACAATCCGTATTTATATTAAGTTGGAGAGCTACAATCCGACGTCCTTTCTCATGAACACACGCATAAAATGTGCGTATTAAAAAATACTGGAGGGAAGGATCCATGCGGTCCCCTGACAAAAACTATAATTTTTATTGGCGTAATTAAAAAATCATGCTTGAAAATTTGGGACATAACAATTATTGAAGCTTTGATTGGCCATGATACAAGAAAGTTATTGAATATTTATTATGGTGTATCCTGATTTATTTGTACGAAGGGGTGGAGACTCGTGCTTCGCACTCGTCACCGCCCTTCGTCCAAATAAATCAGGATACACCATAATAAATATACAATAACTATTACTTAATTCTGTGATTCTTCAATATACATGTAATTTAAAATGTTGAAATCGCCTTGGTGTTCAATAATTTATTTACACTGCACAGTTTTTGCTGGCTCCGCCCATCGGTGTATCTCCAGTTATTGTACACTTTACTTCAAAGGAAAAACACTACAGCCATGATACAATTTAGACTTATTGGTCAAACTGCATGATTTATGAGTAAATCCAGAAGACCCCAACCAGAAAGTAACCTCGCTAGTTGAGGTGAAAATAAACAGATAAAGAACGGAATGGGAGTGTGCGTCATAAAATGTGGTTTATGGTTGGTTGGTAAACACTAAACAGATACGGCTTGATAACAAAAACCTAATATAGATATATGCTGTAAAAAAATATCAATGCAACATGCCTAAGCATAAAGAGTTTTTAAAAAAGCTTCCTTGAAACTCGGAAGTTATTATACATGTACCTATCTTAGCATTCAAATTTACTTACTGTTCCAATCGGCCTTGATAGTGGTCACGCCCTATTTCACATTAGATATGCATACTTGCATTAAAGGTGTGCAGTATAGTAATATTACCTGGTTGAATCCAGATCGAATCGACACAAGCATTGACAAAGTCTCCGTATTCGTCCTTCAGACAATGATAATTCTGTTCATTTGACACACAGTGTTTGGACCGTTCCTTCCATTCATTTTGGTCCCGAGGACACTCTACGGAAGCCATGACTAGTTAAGTTACACCTGTGGACATATGTAAAATATTTATCTTATCATCCCGGCAAAATAAATAGCAAGGATTGCGCAAACACCATCTTTGTCAGTTGTTATACTTTATGAATATTCCGGAAAAAACGGCTGAAAACATTCGGTTCTAAAAATCCTGTCTATACCTCGGGAATAATTTACGTTCTGCTTAAACTTAACCCCGGGTCAATTAAATCGCATTTAAAAGTAAATATACAGACGTGCCGCTGGAATGAATGTCTCACTGGGTCTGAATTTACTTTAAAAAAATAACATTTGTCAGTGGATAATAATTTTCTGCAAGGTCTTGACTAAAGTACATTGTATATGACCATTAAGTTTGTCATTATTTCATTTTTCCACTTCAATCAAAAAACTGATTTCAATTAAATCTCATCAGGAGGTCAGTTTTAGCCCAATTTCCATTCTAACACTTTATATTGTAAAATTGTTCTTTTCTTTTCATACGATTAAAACAAAATGACAGGCCCGTAGAAATTATTTCAAGGGGGGGGGGGGAACTTCCCCCAAAAATCTGACAGGCAAAAAACAAAAAAAAGGGGCAACTTTCCAAAGTTATCTGACAAGCGAAAATAAAAATATAAATAATAATATTTTTTTTTAATAAGCTCATTTACTGTCCAAATCCTGGAATTTGCCTGTGCTCAACCTTACAACATCAAAAAGTGTGTGTGTGTAAAGGGGAGGGGGGGGGGGGACAAGCATCTATAACGAAAAATTTATCATAGCAAATACTACACTCGGAAAAAAGTGCCCCCCCCCCCCCCCGCTTTCTACGGGCCTAAATGATACAATGATCCAAAGAATATTTTATAAAATCAAAATTTCGAACATCAAAATACTGTCCTTTACAAAAATTGAGAATTTCAAATTTTACTTCACCGCAAATCACTACAATAAACCATAAATCGCAGCATTTCCTGCAGGGTGCAGTCTTGGCAGTGGTGTTGACAGCTTTAGGCCAAAAAAAATTACTCTTAAGTATCTCAGGCGCCGCCTCAGCAGCCTAAGCGCATCGATCAATTATATTGACACATTAAAAAAGTTTAAAAAACTCAATTTTCCAAGTTTTTTCAAGTTCAAAAGAAAATTGAATTACATGTATGTCCCTTTTCATACATGCTAGAAAGACTTTTTTTTTAATTAATACATACGCAATATGTAAATTTAACTTTTTATAAGAATGTTTAGATTTTACATTAGTTAAAGCAGAGTACAAATTATATCTAAATAAGAGTAAAAAAAGAAAGATACAATTGATATCAACATTTTGCTGACTGATAAGAGTGAAAAACGAGGTACCTGCCGCCCCCCTCCCCCCCCCCCCCTTCTTAAAAAAAATGCCTGCCGCATTGAATTTTGAAATTTTTGACCTGAGAAACTAATTTAAAAGATTATTATTATTATTTTGGCCCCTTAGAATTCTTTTTTTATTATCAAAATACGATCTGTGCTTTACAAATATGTATATGATTTTTTAATCATTCACGACTGTTAGCTTTGAACCGCGTCATACCGGTATTAGGAAAAAGTTTTTACCCGCCCTCAAATAGGCAAAAAATTAGGAGTCATTTTTTTTTTTTAAAACTCCTCCCTTCACTTCTTTGTGCAGTATACGCGTTTTGCAATGTAAAGTAGGGTAAAATTATCAGAATTAATAGATGAATATTGAAGTTCATGTCAACAGTTTGGCAAAAGCAGAGATGGAAGCTTCTAAAAGAAATTAGCATCAGCATATTACATATAACATATTAGCTGAGTATTAGCATATATTCATTACTGATATTAAGGTATAGCGACATACTTTTTTCATTTATATATAATCAATCAACATAATCAGGGACCTATATATATATGTACTAACCAAGGCCCGTGAGAACCCGGAGGGAGGGTGTTAAATTTTTTTTCAGTTTATATACATGCACCACAGGCTAAACCCATTCATCTCATTATCGTAGGTAAATATATATATATATATATATATATATATATATATATATATATATATATATATATATATATATATATATATATATATATATATATATATATATATTTTTTTTTTTTTTTTTTTTTTTTTTTTTTTTTTTCGCGTTACAACGCGAAAGTTTCGCGTTTATTCGCGAAAGTCACGCGTTATAACGCGAAAAAAATTAACCTACGAAAATGAGCTCAATGGGCTTTCGTAACAGGCATTTGAAGTTACATAAAAAAGTTATTAGGTATGGGTTATATTTTTAATAAGAAAAATATGTAACATCAAGTGCCTATGACATGTACTACATAAAATTATGATAGGAAATTAATACTAATTTATGGTTGTGATCCCTTATTGATAATGTCTGCTGACTATTTCTCCTCTCTTTTTTTAGCTCTAATGGTCGAAAACCAGAAGAGCTTATGTGCATGATAGTAATTACGGGGTCCGTCGTCCGTCTTTCTGTAAAAAAAAATTTCAAGACGCTACTCCTCCTATAGTTTTGGTCTGATTTCAATATAACCTGACATAAAAGTAGACTGCACTTAGATACACAATTCTCTTTATCGGTGAATGGTGTTGCCTCTGTTACCAAAAATAGAAATTTCTGTGAAATACTCCCAAAACGCTACTTGTCCTACAGTTTTGGTCTGATTTCAATTATATCAATTTTGGCACACAAGTAAAATACACTAAAATACATAATTCTGTGTATCGGTTTTTGATTTAGATGAGCGGTGTTGCCTTGGTTACTAAAATTAGAAAGTTCTGTGAAATGCAAAATGCTACTCCTCCTACAGTTTAAGTCTGAAGAGACTAAACCAAGGATCATTATTCTGTTTATTGCTGTTGCATAGTTTCAAGTCCAATTGCTACTTTTATCTTCCTTTTTTTTGTTTTGTCTCATCAGAGAATTCTGGAGTCTTTTCTTTTTAGGGGGGGGGGGGTCAAAGAATTTCTGATTAACTTTGCTTTCACCCCTCTCCCCCAGATTGAAATTGCCTCCCTTCATGAATGTTATTTATGTCTCTGCTTAATGCAGGTCCCTGATCATGTAGAATGTTTGTCCCAGTGTGTTTATATGCAATATATTGAAATAATAGACAGTGGCGTATATTCCGAATGTGTTTTCTGTACTAATATAGGCAGAATTCTCAGTAGTGGTTTAGGTATGAGTATATTATTAAAATAAAAAAAAATAATACTACAGTAATTTCTATCTTACAACTTGAGTCGATTTTAAAAAAATAATCCATCTTTCAATTATGGAAGGGGCAGTGGTAAGAGCGTCTGCTCTAGAGTTGCGGAGTAAGGAGTCGATCCTTACGTCGCGGGTTCGAATTCCACTGCGGGACGTGGCCATGGAGACCGGTCCTTCGGAGGAGACCATATAAATCGAGGTCCCGTATCCCAGTAGGTGCTGGCACGAAAAAGATCCCTCACTGCTCAATGGACCTAAGTGCCGAGCATAGGTCATCAGGGTTGGATTGGCTGTAAAAATGGGGGCGGGATCTTAAAGTAGCCTCTAGACATAGGTTTTTTTAAATGTTCAAGTAACGATACGTGCCTGTTTGCAGGGGATAATACCCCCCCCCCCCCCCTGCGGATTTTCTATTCCCAATACACATAAACATTGCATCAATCGAAATACAAATGAATATTGAAAAAAAATCTAATAATATAGTTCAACGAATTTTATTTTGAATTTAAATAAATCCACGCTTGTCATCAATTTATCCATATCTGATGATTAATTTAAATGGATACATTGTTTATATGGATTAGTATTTCTACTTTTACCTGTACGACTTAATATATAATTACCAATTGTAAATTGCCAGTGAAATAAATGTAAATTACCTGTGAATGTTAATATTAATTAAGAATATTTCATTTATTTCCGTATACATGTATTTTAACACATGTCGAATATTCCACGTACGAGTGAATAGATCTACGTAATGAACGATAACTCGTACTATGAGCGATAACTCGTGTTCGCCTACCTGTACATTGTACTATCCAGTGTTAACCTATATTCCATATAGGCAAAAAGGCTGTAGCCTACACATCATTTTACTCAATTTGTAAAAATTAACTATTTATACTGCAGTTTGGTTGAAAAGGGGGGGGGGGGGGAAGGATCAGGAAACAAGACAATTATTTTGTTTGCTGTCAAATGCGGAAAAATGTTCTTAGGAAATTGCATTTTATTTATTGAACAATGAAATAAAAATTGTTTACGGGATATGTTTTTGTTTTATTAGGAAACCGTAAAGCAAAGTATTTCAAAAAGGAAGTTTCAATTTTACCTAAGCACTAAGGGTTGAATTATTACGAAAGCCCATTGAGCTCATTTTCGTAGATAAAAAAAATATATTTTTCGCGTTATATCGCGAAACTTTCGCGAATAAACGCGTAACTTTCGCGAATAAACGCGAAACTTTCTCGTTATAACGCGAAACTTTCCCTGTAAAACAGAGACATTTGCATAAGTCTACAGTTTGTTTTACTTTTTAATGATCTAGTTTATTCATTACAGGGAAAAACGAAAGACTATTTTGAACTTGGATTATCACGAGCTGAAATTTTATGTTTTCTCGCCATTGAATGTGTCTTTCCTCTTTCTAAATCTTTTTTGCCGTCACATTTTGTCTTTCTCAATGCTGTTCAATACAAGTGTTGAAGCGTATAGTAGAGGAGCGAAAATACAAGCATAACTTTAATTAGATTGAACACTCTATATAGAATTTGAAATAAAAGATCTCAGAAAATTGACAACAATGAGGTAGATTTGTATTTCACGGAACAATTGTGTCACATCACATGAGTAACCTAATGTGAAAATTGGATGACAAATATTCGTATCAAATATTTCATCTCCGATTGACTCACTGAAGAAATACAACATTGTATTTTAAGGTTGCACTATTTGGTCATACTATTACTTACTAAAACATTGACAATTTATTCAAAGAAAGCAACGAGTGGAGATCTTCCTGAGAAAAAAAATTAGTCTACAGAATTTCTTGGATTCAACAAGTGAAAAACAAGAAAATCTTTAAAGGAATATTCATTTAATTAATTAGTAGGGTTTTGAGATTAAATGCAAAATCAACACTAATCTATCCATTTCTCGCATCAATTCTCTTTTACATCTTCTAAAGAAATGTCATTTATAAATTCATAGAAGTCCCCCTCTGCGTTCATGTTTTTTATCTGTCAGTCAAAATCACAGGTTCCTGAGTAACATGACTATATATGTATAATTTCGCGTTATAACGCGAAAGTTTCGCGTTTATTCGCGAAAGTTACGCGTTTATTCGCGAAAGTAACGCGTTTATTCGCGAAAGTTTCGCGTTATAACGCGAAAAATATATTTTTGTTACCTACGAAAATGAGCTCAATGGGCTTTCGTAAATTATATATAGGTATTAAAATTTCTTAATTTTGTTAAGTGGTCATGATAATTCTATTTTCATAATTGTTTAAAAAAAATGTACTGGTCAAATGACAATCATGGATGTCTTTCAACTTCACAGAAAATTTATACGGCAAACAATTTCTTTTTATTTGATACTTAGACCAGAATACATGTGTGAAAACGTAATATAAATAGCGAACCAAAATAAAACCTTTTTTTTCATTTTCATTACATCATTACACCATTCTGGACTTTTTTCGTATTTTTTTTTCGGAGGGTGAAACCCCCCCCCCCCCCCCCATACGGAGGTGAACCCTTCTCATACTGACACTACTGACACGCGCCTGTTGAAGTCTTCGACTTCACCTTAGCCTACACATATACAGAAAGGAATATATACCACTGATAGATTGTATATAATTTTTTTTTTTTTTAAAAAAGGGTGTTATTTGATTGACGCTTTTCTGCTCCCTTTCAGGCAAACATTTTGATCCGCCCTCCATTGGAAAACGGCCGCTCATATCAATTGATACTCAATGTTATGGGAGCATCTCATTAGTCTTTGTCTTTCTCACATTCATAAATTACATTTTCATTTAAGAAATATTCGACACTATAACAAAAATATGGATGTTTTCCTTTTTTAATTGCTTTGATTTTTTTTCTCGTTGATACGAGGAACAAACCGTAATAATGGCGTCAAGATACAGGCGAAACAAACTCGCTGACGGATGACAGGTCTAGTTTTGTAAAGTTTGTGTGGGCAGACAGGAGAGATGTTTTTATGTTAAATTTCACTGGTAGAAAGAAAGGAGATGGCTTCAATCATCAAAAACCAAATTCTAAAACACTTATCCAAGTAGGTGCAACTTTAATATTTCGATTTACGTAGACAGAGATTTCGGTGATTTCGAATTTTCTCGAAACAGTAGAAGAAATTTCACTGGTCGGAAAAGTTTGGATGATTAGAAATCTTCAGTGCCAATTGTACAATAAATGTAGTTTTTAACATTTTTATTTTATTATTGTGTGACTTCTCTACATATACCCATAGGCGCTTGGTTTCAGGATGGTGTATTTTGCTTATTATGTGTTTTTCTAGGTGTGTCTAAATACACACATTAAAATAAAAATCAAAATCGCTAAAATTAGCACTTTTTACAGGGCTCTCACACCACTTTTTGGGACTGGGGCCTTGGCCGTAAAAATTGGGAAAATTAGCGACCTTTTGGGGAATTTTGGGAAAATCATAACTACACATTATATGTATTAACATGATTAAATTCATGATATATTGAATTTCTGGTGGTTATTATGAACTAAATTTCTGTTTTGTGATATAGAGAAATATGAATTACAAGTTATAGTAACTACATATCTCACTAAATGTTCTTTAATATTTGGGAAAATTAACACATTCAATTGGGAAAAAAGGTACCTTTTTTGAATTGGGAATGGGGCCTTTGAACGGCCCCAAATATAGAGAATCTAGAACCCTGTTTTAAAAATATCATATTGCTGTATATAAAAAGAGTGAACACACAACAGTTGCCATCTTAGATTTCATGGGGTGCCTTAGTTAGAATAATCTAACTGTGTCTCGGGACAAGCCCTCACCACAGTTAGAATACGTCCCATATACTTGCAATGTAGCAAATCGGAGTGGATCCACTCCGAAATGATTTTGAAGAATACAAAAGGAGTTGCACTGAAAATAACTACCAAATTAATCATAACAAACCTTTTTGAGATTGTATATGCCTTTTAACCTAAAAAATAATCCATATAAATACGAAAATTCAACTCATTTTCTCAACGTTTTTTCCTCGCTTCAAATTTAACGCCATGTTGACATTCGGAACTCTCTGGATTGTTCATAGAAAATGCACAGAGTTCGAGTTATCGCCCGTGTTTATTTTGCTACATTGCGAATACACGGAACGAATTCTATCGTTAAACCGGGTCAGTAGGACAATATCATTTTAACGATAGAACATTCTATCTAGGGGTGCCTTGGTTCACTCTTGATTTTATACAATATCTACACTTTTCCTACTGGTGTTGGGTAAGATCTACACTGTAGCTTCAATTAAGCATTGAATTCTTATTTTTTGATGGCGTCAGTCCTAACACACCTGGCAGTGCCGACAAATTGAATACCACGCGTTAGCACGGTATGATAATTTGTCGGCACGGCCAGGTGTGTTATAGGACTGATGCCATCCAAAAATAAGAATTCAACGCTTATATTTACATTCTTTAATTTTCTCTATTCATAATTGTTTATTTCGTTAATCTTTAACATGTATTTAGCGCCTTTCAGAACTGGTGTGCTTAATAGACATAAGAGCCGTTTGTGACGTTGGGAAGTTAAATAACACAAATGAACACTGCGAGGAAAAAAAATGACAAATTAATTCTAAACACACAGTTGTTGTATTTTTACATTAATAATACAGTTTTTTTTTAAAATTTAATTTATTAAATTTTTCAATTAAATTGAGGCAAAACAATAAACATTTTGGTGTTCCTAGAGTATTGAAAATTCATATAGTTCCTTCTGTGTAACTGTATTCTGAAGCGCGGTGACAAGGTTTCACGTGTGTTATAGAGATTTGAACATCATGGATTTCTTAAAGAAAATTACACTGAATATAAATATAAATGATTGAATAATGCCCTTCAATCGTCTGCTGATTTGAACTTGCCGTATAAAACATGCAGTAAACCAAAACGTCCTTGATTACCTAGCACTGAAACTGAAAGCAACAGAAATGACGATTTCTAACTATGTAAAATGTAGAGATATCTGGGAATTACACAGAAAATCTAGAGAGGTCAGAAACCATGCCAAACTTGTCAGATAAGGCCAAGGTAAATAAATATTGTGTTTCCTATTCCAATCCGAGAAAAAATAGGGTAGGTAGGTAGGGAAAACATTTTATTTTATTTTAACATCAGTTAAAATTCAACTTTGACAATAAACAAAATGAGAAAAACAAAGAGTTCATTTCTTTTTTCCCAAAGGGCGGCTTACTAATGGCATTTCTGTTTAATGTGTATAGGATATGCATTTTCTCAAACATGGAAGTGATCGAGATTAGGATTTCTAATAGTGAAAATTGAATTGTTTACTACGGGAAAGATTTCGGCGGATAAATTTTTCAGGGTCGGTTCATATTTTAGGGTCTGTCGGGGAACCAGATACATACAATTTATCTAGGCCTAATGCGCAAAATACACTATCCTAAAACCAAGCGCCTATGCATGTACATTAATTAAAATCTATTACAGCAGAGCCTTCCCAGCATACAGGGTTCGACACTAACGTTAGTCCGTTAGTCTCAGACTAATACACTTTTATTCGGACTAATAAAATCTGTGGCTAATTAGTCCGAACGGACCAATAAAAATTCCTGGAAAACAATTTGAATAATTTACCAATGTCCGATTCTCCACAACTTTTACTGGAAAACCCCGCATTTATTTTTAGCTTTCTAGCTTCTTGGCGGGTAGTTAGACAATTTCGAGTCAGAGCTTAATTTTTCGACTGATTGATATGAAGTGAAACGTTTTAGCGGTCATAATTTATATGACACAGAAAAGAAAGATGTCAGACATTTTGGATGTTTGTTTGTTGTTTAACGCCCCTCTCGAGAATTTTTCACTCATATGGAGATGCCACCACTTGCCGGTGGAGAGCTGCAAATTTTCTCCTATACTCGGCACTTATGAGCAGTGAGGGATCTTTTTCGTGCCAGCACCTACTGCGATACGGGACCCGGTTTATACGGTCTCATCCGAAGGACCGTTTTTTTTTGGATGTAATGCAAGAGAAAAAGAACGACATCGGGAATGCGATTGTACTCGTTGATCACGAGATTTCAATGAATCCGTGCTGGGGAATAAACCATTTCACGTAAATGCTTTGTTTATTTAATAAAAGTATTTAAAAAAAACGTATATTGAAATGTTTATTTTTAAATTAATGTTACAAAACATTGATGTTTCCTTTTGTTTTGACGGACTCATAAAATCGCATGCGGACTAGTAAAAGTAAGGAAGCACTAGTCCGGCCGGACTAAAGCCTAAAAAAGTTAGTGTCGAACCCTGGCATATTTCTTTTCAAAATCTACTGTTACAGTAATTAAAGCATACTTTTCCACATTTTGTGAGATAACTAAAAATGTTCTATGAAACTATTACTAAAATAATAATGTCCTATGGACCTTGTTAAGTGAAAGAATTTGTCCTGTATATTTTTTAGTAAAGCAGGTATATTTCTTTAGAATGAGTTACCCACCCCATTGGGGCGGGTAACTCCATTCTAAATGAATTTGCCGTAGACTGTTTCATGAAAACTGCACTACTGCTCTTTTGCAGAACAAATTGGTAGAATTTGGAGAAATATGATGTAACAGAAATTGTTTGATAAACGTCATTTTATTATCTGTAGGGTTGGACAACAGTACTTAGTATCTGTACTGTACTGAGTAGTTCTTTCAAAATTACCAGTAAAATTCCATTTCATTTACTACTAATATCCATATTGATATTTAATCCTTTTTAGCTCACCTCAACAAAGTTGAGGTGAAAGGGCTTGGACACAGATTTGAAGTTAATATTTTCTCAAATTTTCTGTATATTATCATGACTTACATGTTGCTAGAGCAATTCACACGGAAATATGAATTATATTTCTGTGTGAATATTTTTTCTTAAAACTTTTCAATGAAAAAAGAAGTTATAAAGATAGCATCTATAATAACAATAATATAATAATTACGTCCTAAAATCATATTGTTCAATGAAAAATATTGAAAGACTGAGGTATCATTAAAAAGTACCATATCATTATTGGTATGGTATTGTACTGTTACAGTGAACATGGTAAAGGGAGTTCAAGATATTTAAATGGCAGGTAAATTTAAAGGGTTGAAAAAAATGTTATGATTCATTTGGCAATTTTCAGTGCACATGCACTACCATTTGTATAATTTGGAATCAGATTTGCTGAATTAAATATATGTATATTCAAAATGTGGTAAGACCCTGTCATGAGGGCCAAAAAAAAAAAGATTCAGTAGAGGTGCAGTAGGTGTATGGTCATCCATGCCAAATTAATTTTTTTGTCAATTGAGCTACAGAACTGCAGCTTATATATCCTATTAACCACTATTCAAGGTTCACCAAGAACATGTCTCCAGACAAAATTAACCTGAGTACTCTAAAAGGAGAAGGTGAACTCTCTAATCTGGAACTGGATGAGGTGGTTCTAATGGAGCTCTTAGACATGCCAACATGGATGAAATTATCAAAAGCTGTCTGCAACCGACTGTCCATTAAGGTATGTCATAGGACTGTCCATTAAGGTGTGTCATAGGACTGTCCATTAAGGTTTAACATAGGACTGTCCATTAAGGTATATCATAGGACTCTCCATTAGGGTATATCATAGGACTCTCCATTAACTAAAGGTATGTCATATGACTCTCATTAAGGTATGTCATAGGACTGTCCGTTAAGGTATGTCATAGGACTGTCCATTAATTAAGGTATGTCATAGGACTGTCCATTAAGGTATATCATAGGACTTTCCATTAAGCTATATTATAGAACTGTCCATTAATTAAGGTATGTCATAGGACTGTCCATTAAGGTATATCATAGGACTGTCCATTAAGCTATATTATAGAACTGTCCATTAAGGTATGTCATAAGGATGTCTTAAAATCTACATGATGATAGTCAGTCTTTGCTTTTGTTAAGCTCTACCCGCATCTGATATTTGGACCTGAAAAATAACATTCATTGATAGTTCATACATATAAAATGATCAATATCCATTAACACAGGAAAGTTTTGGTTTTTTTTTTTCAATTATCTTAATGGCATATGAACATGTATTTTAAGATTGGATAATGTGATTTGTCGAGCATTTTATTCTATGATATTAAATATACAACAGGATTCAAAGGAAAAGAAATCTTGCAGCTTAATTACCATGCTCACAGATTCCTTCACAAAGTACATGTATTGGAGATAATTGTATGATGCTAATCAGTGTGAAGAAAAATATTGAACAAGAGACACAAGTTCAGTGGACAGTTGTACTTTCACCATGCTTTATACTACTGATACATGTAGATATTAATTGAAGGCAGTGCTGATGAATGTTTCAGGCAGCTTAATGTAAAGATAAAGCTTTAACTTGATATAACTTGAGATTGGGCAAGAATAATAAAGTTCGAAACACAACAAACAGTGAAATTCTAAATTTCTGTTGGATTTATTAGTCTCTCTTTATTTATAAAGAGTTTATATGCTTTTCTTATTACACCCTCAAAACTACTAATTATGACATGTAAATATCTACATAAAAGAATAAACATAAGCTTAACATTTATAAACAGGGTTGTCCCTAAGAATTGAAATAGCAGGGGGACATTAAAAAAATAGAAGGGGGTCTGGGGTTCCTTCCCTAACAGGGGGTTGAGGGGGAATACCAGAATAACTGGGGGATTATGTCATTATAGGTGGGGAAATTCCCCAGTCCCAGGGTGTAAGGAACAACCCTCAGGCTGATAAATATAAAACTAATGAAGAGAAGTTTTGAAAGTATTGCTGGGTCTGGCTCACTTATTTAACAAATGAACCTGTTAGTGGCAGAGTTGCTAATGTCTTTTATGTATTTAGTTTCTTATTCAGTATTATTACAGATATAATTTCAGTCTCACAAGAAAAGACAACAATAATCTGGTTGGTTTGATTTGTGTTGACATCTTAATTAGAAATTGCACAAATTCGGCAAGCTGGCATCAATAAAAGCAGTTCTGATACAGCTGATATGTAGATTTCATTTCTCTCCAGATACTATAGATCTGATAGATCTAGATGTAATAGATAGTGCTGAAAACTTTTAAGCGTGTCCTTGCTTATGTGTCATACATTTATATATATAAATGGATCATTCTTTCTGCTAGGATTCAGCAAAAAATATCTCTTCAAAATTAAAATCCTCACAGATGTTCAAGGAATATAAAAACTAAGATCCTCACAGATGTTCAAGGAATATAAAAAGTAGGGATGGCAATCAAATACAGAATTGGTAATCCGTTAACTGCAAGACATTTCGACTGATTAACCGGTTAATCGTATCAAACTACACATTTTCTTGACTTTTTTTCAAGTAGCTCTATTCCTATGCACAAGAAGACTTTAAAAAATGATTTTAAAACTTAAAAAACATTCTATTTGTCTTTATTTTTGATCAGAAAACTACATGCATTTATTTTTATTTCAATAGACAAGAAAAAAATCAGGAAACCGTGAAACATGCCTGAAAAAACGCAGATGATTTACACATCACAGACTGATCAATTACCCCACAATTTTAATCTGGAGAGCCATAATTACCTCCAAATCATAAATATGTGAAAATGCTAAATTTAAATGTTTAAGCAGGAATTTTCTTTTCTAAAATTGATTACATTCAATTTCACATGCATTTTAATTTTTTTTCAACTAATCAATTACAGATTTTTTAACCGATTGCCATCGTTCCGACCGAGTAATCGGTTAACCGGTTAGAAATTGCAATCCCTGATAAAAAGATTTATCATATGCAATTAAGGATCAGGATTTAGATAAAGTATTTTTAGCTCTACTGGTCAGAGACCAGAAGAGCTTATGCGATAGTAAGGTGTCCGTCGTCCGTCCGTCTGTCTGTCTGTCCGTCTGTCTGTAAACAATTTTCAAAACGCTACTCCTCCTACAGTTTTGGTCCAATTTCAATATAACTTGGCACACAAGTAGACTACACTAAGATACATAATTTAGTGCATCAGTTTTTGATTTCGATGGACGGTGTTGTCATGGTTACTAAAAATAGAAATTTCTGCGAAATTCCTTTAAAACGCTACTCCTCCTACAGTTTTGGTCCGATTTCAATATAACTTGGCACACAAGTAGACTAAACTAAGATACATAATTTAGTGCATCGGTTTTTGATTTAGATGGACGGTGTTGCCATGGTTACTAAAAATAGAAATTTCTGTGAAATTTCTTTAAAACGCTACTCCTCCTACAGTTTTGGTCCGATTTCAATATAACTTGGCACACAAGTAGACTACACTAAGATACATAATTTAGTGCATCGGTTTTTGATTTCGATGGACGGTGTTGCCATGGTTACTAAAAATAGAAATTTCTGTGAAATTTCTTTAAAACGCTACTCCTCCTACAGTTTTGGTCCGATTTCAATATAACTTGGCACACAAGTAGACTACACTAAGATACATAATTTAGTGCATCGGTTTTTGATTTCGATGGACGGTGTTGCCATGGTTACTAAAAATAGAAATTTCTGTGAAATTTCTTTAAAACGTTACTCCTCCTACAGTTTTGGTCCGATTTCAATATAACTTGGCACACAAGTAGACTACACTAAGATACATAATTTAGTGCATCGGTTTTTGATTTCGACGGACGGTGTTGCCATGGTTACTAAAAATAGAAATTTCTGTGAAATTCCTTTAAAACGCTACTCCTCCTACAGTTTTGGTCTGATTTCAATATAACTTGGCACACAAGTAGACTACACTAAGATACATAATTTAGTGCATCGGTTTTTTGATTTCGATGGACGGTGTTGCCATGGTTACTAAAAATAGAAATTTCTGTGAAATTTCTTTAAAACGCTACTCCTCCTACAGTTTTGGTCTGATTTCAATATAACTTGGCACACAAGTAGACTACACTAAGATACATAATTTAGTGCATTTTTTTGAATTTGATGAACAGTGTTGCCATGGTTACTTAAAATAGAAATGTCTGTGAAATTCCTTTAAAACGTTACTCCTCCTACAATTTTGGTCTGATTTCAATCTAATTTGGCACACAGTTAGAATACACTACGATACATAATATGTATTTCTGTTTTTTTTTATTTGGGTGAATGGTGTTGTCATGGTTACCGGTACTAAAAATAGAAATTTCCGTGAAATACTTTCAAAACGCTACTACTCCTAGTTTTCATTTGATTTCAATAACTTGTCACAAAAGTAGACTACATTAAGATACATAATTCTATTTATTGTTGCATGTTGCAATGTTTCAAATCCAAGTGCTACTTTTCTTTTGTTCTACAAACAGACCAGTAGAGCTACAGTCTCATCAGAGACTTCTGGTTTTTTTTGAGGTGTGTTGTATTTAGCATTGTTGTCCAGTTTTGAGGTTTATTGTATTTAGCATTGTTTTCAAGTTTTGAGGTTTGTTGTATTCAACATTGTTGTCCAGTTTTGAGGTTTGTTGTATTAAGCAATGTTGTCCAGTTTTGAGGTTTAATGTATTCAGCAATGTTGTCCAGTTTTGAGGTTTGTTGAATTTAGCATTATTGTTCAGTTTTGAGGTTTGTTGTATTCAACATTGTTGTCCAGTTTTGAGGTTTGTTTTATTTAGCATTATTGTTCAGTTTTGAGGTTTGTTGTATTAAGCAATGTTGTCCAGTTTTGAGGTTTATTGTATTTAGCATTGTTTTCCAGTTTTGAGGTTTGTTATATTCAGCATTGTTGTCCAGTTTTGAGGTTTGTTGTATTAAGCAATGTTGTAAAGTTTTGAGGTTTGTTGTATTCAGCATTGTTGTCCAGTTTTGAGGTTTGTTGTATTCAACATTGTTGTCCAGTTGTCCAGTTTTTGAGGTTTGCTGTATTCAACATTGTTGTCCAGTTTTGAGGTTTGTTTTATTTAAGAAATAAAGTCAGCGTTTTCGTGAATGTTGCAGAATAACCTCCGAGGTCGAGAAATGTTTGAAATATAAAAGCCGAGGCGTTAGCCGAGGCTTTTATATTTCAAACAACATTTCGAGACCGAGGAGGTTATCCTGCATCATTCACGACAACAAGGACTTTATTTCTATTCTACTAACAGCTCTAAAATACGGCTGATCGTTTCTTCTATAGAGAAACGAATTAGGTCATCATGTCGCGATTTCGCTGTTCCATTTAACACCAGAGGGTCAATTTGTTTGATTACTTGCATAAAATGCAGACGATTTGAGATTTTGTTGGGTGAACTATATCCTTTAATTATTTATAAATTTGTTTGTAACATATACTGGTTAAATTTTAAAAATGAAAAAATAACAAAATCAGTTGTCTTTTTCATTGCTTTGTCAGTAAAATCACGGAGTGTAAATGTTGTGGGGAGGTCCGTGGAACGGCCCAACTTAGCTATAAAACCTGACATTTACAGCTATTTTAGGCAATACACACTCTTTAGACTGCGGAAGATGACACATCGACATGGTCTAAATAAGTATTAGATTCTACAGTGAAATATTCATTTCAACTGTACAGGTTTAATATCTGTTTTTGATCTGATAATTTTTTGATGACGTTCGTGATTTGTTGGAGAATAATGTCCGCGGCATTTCTTTGATCTCAGCAATAACTGTAGTAGAATTAGCATTATTGTTCAGTTTTGAGGTTTGTTGTATTCAGCAATGTTGTCCAGTTTTGAGGTTTGTTGTATTGTTGTATTCAGCATTGTTGTCCAGTTTTTAGGGGTTTTTTTAGCATTATTGTACAAGCTTTGATGAAATTATTCCTCTAGAGGTGGTAGAAGCCTTCTCTACCAGAATTAAATCAATGAAGGTCCACAAGACATTGACATGTATGTCTGAAGAGTGGGATGGTGAGAACTGATTGTTGATGGGGAGTCCAGACAATTGATCTGTACTCCGCAGTTTGTGTTTTAAATGAAACGCAAATAATAAAATGACTACAAAGAGAAAATAAATGTTCTGAATAATGTATTTTGTAAACCTGATATTTGGATTTTTTTTGTCACAAGCATTGGACATGATGAGGTTGCTGAAATCCATGCAGTCTGATAGGAGTTTTAGTACAATGTTTGATCTTTTGATTAAATTCTAGTTTTCTTTTACATCGTATTTCCTCTTCAATATAAAAGAAAAATATAAGTTTTGATAATAGTGAAGGTTATAGAAAATGCCATTTAGAGAGTCAAATCAATAACTACGTGGTAAATACTGAATTGAAAGTTTTATAGATCAATGATTAATTTATATTTAACTAAAAATTACTAAATCAAGGCTTAAACAATGACACTTTGTTACCACAGAATTACCTGATGTTTCATGTCATCATCAGACTAACCAGATGTTCCAGGACAGATCATTCATATGCTTTGACCAGTGGATAATATTATACATTTATTGACTGGGTTCGAGGGCAGCGTGCGTTTTGTCGGACCCAACAGTTTGATTTGAGGGGTCAACAAAACACATTTTGCCTGAGATTACAGTCAATAAATGTGTTGTTATACCTTTTATTTATGTATTATTAATTTTTATTATACATGTATCTTTTGCTGCTGGCTTCCATACCAACGAATGCAAATAAGATTTAGCTAATCCCACCCACAGTGTAATGTAAGCGGTCCCATATCTCGTCCACAGGTCCAATATCTCACTCTGCGGTCAAACATCGATTTTTTTATGACCGCTCAGTAAAGCATTAGGAATGTTAGACTTTTTTTTAGTATAGATTTATATAGGAACCAATTTTTAAAGGAATAACTATAATGTTTGATCATGTCATATATATTCATCTCATTGATATTTTAAAATTTATTCTTACACTAAAATTTATGACAAGCCTTCTCTAAAATGCATTGTATTTTTATTCCTGAAATTACAGTTCATTGAGAAGGGGGTGTTGGGGACAGAGATAATTACAGATGGTACAAAGGGCAACATTTAGTCAGTACCGGAATTATTGCATAGAATATATCCTCAGTTAAGTGGAAAGAAAACACTACATTTATTTTTCAGTATCAGTTACAATTGTTTACTGTATGCACATAATCTGAGGCTGTTTCATTTACAAAAAGTAATTTGTGGGGTTTATTTTAAAATGAAAATTGCAACTACAAGGTACTTAAAAGGCAAGCGAATCAATATTTGAAGGAATTTACCACATGTGAGATGAAGCTTTTGACCTGATAATTCAAGTGGAAAAAAAACTTTTTGTTTAGTGAAATAAAACCAAGTCATAAAGCATATAGATTTCTTTTGATGGAATAGTTTGTAATTGGTATAGTAATGTATAATAGTGATTTATTGTCATATTTGGCAAACAAAGGAAACATTATAGAAGAAATTTCCTGTAAACAGCTGTAGGGCTAAGTAAAAAACATTACGTTAATAGTGGGATGACAAAACCCATTACCAACACTGATTGAACCTTAGTACATGTGTATGTACAATTTTCATAACTAAGCAGAATTTCTCAGTGTTAAGAAGTGCTGGTCAAAAAGAAAAGAAAACTAAAACAGGAGATTTAAAAACCAACTAGGGTATATACCTTCATATATACCTTTATATATGATATTTTACTTTTGCTCGATGGGGCTTTTTTGGCTACTGTAAACATGGAAATTTATGCTAGGGGTAATTTATGCCAAATACACGAGAAGAAAGCTTTCCTGTAAATATTCCTCCATGTACCAAAACTTTTAAACATATTTTTATCAGTTTTAACAATACCAAATTCTGGTATTGCAGAAATATCCCCCAGGGGTAATGTGCAATTAACAACGGGTAAATATCATTTAATATATTATTGACAACATTGTCCTGAAATAGGATATTATGACATCTGTTATGGATATTTTTTGTGGAATAAAAGCTTAGTATTGAAGAAAGCACTTGCTTACATTTTATTATACATAGTGCATTACCTTGTAGGCCTGTTATATTTGTGAACTGATAATAGTATCTATAGAATTGTAAGCTGATATTTTTCCAGTTTATGTGTGTATGCAAGTGTCCATGTTAATATTTATATTTAGCATGTTGCACTGTGTAATTGTTTATGAAATATTGAAATAGCATGTTTTTTGATAGAACTGGAGTTGAATATATGTTGTTTTTTTTCTATACAGGTACAGTGGACAAAACTAAAGTCACAGCCCCTGTGTTTGGTAAGAAATTGACTTTATTATAATTGTTTATGAATGTACTGATATGCAGTGTATGAATTACAAAGCTACCATTATTTACTTCCACAATTAGTACTAGACAATTTGATTTCCCATGTTACTGTCAGTGTGAACATTTTGAGTTTCTCTTGTAAATTATGTAAGCATCAGTTAGCTATAGTCAGATAAAACAATTGAGTTCATGATAGTTGTTGTTCTTGATAATCAACATAAAACTTAAACTTGTTTAATTTGATGGGATTTTTCAGTACCTAGATGAAGTTGAATTGGAGATAGAGACCTGTAACACACCACGCCCCCCAAACAGCCCGGCCCACGTGGCTAGCTATAGAAGTGGGGGAAAGTATGGCTTTGTGGACCGGGTCATTGACGGAATGTATGTCCACATCAACTCGGTGCTGGTCAAATTCATTTCCAGAAAATTCCATGCATCTCTACAGGTGAGAATAAAAACCTAGCCCATAAAAGTAGGAACACTATCCATTATAGTTACACAGATTTATTCTGAACTGTTTGAAATTAAAATATTTCAAAAATCCTTTTTAATGTTTCTTTAGTAAACTTTTGTAGTGGTTTTATATAAGAAAGATAAAGTATGGAGAAAAAAAACTTTAAGAAATAAAATAGAAATGCATCTTAATTTTTGTAGTTGTCAAGGGTCAAAGTTCAAAGTGTGACACCTAACTGGAAGCCTTCAGATGACCTTGGGCCAACAAAAATCAGGGACACAGTGAGAGGACAGATCCTGTTATTTAAGGAGTTTGATTGGCAGACAACAAGGATTGAAGCCACTGCTGTGGAGGGGGAGACTTCTGAAACATTTCTGACCACGCCCCTCAGGTTCATTGCCAACCAATCAAAAATCAGAATCACCATCAAAAAGAGACTCAGTGGTAAGGTTATTGTTCTATATGAATAAAGTAACTGTTCTCAAAAATGAAATTACTTAAGTCTATATAAGCATAATGTGAAGTAAGAGTGCTTTTAGCATACGTAATCAGTCAATTTTACTAACAAGAGAAGAGGATTATTTATATTTGAGTTATCTCTGAGAAATGATCTTTGTGATGAACAGGACATAATTACTGAATAATTTAATGGACTTATTTAATTACACTTCATGACCATATCTTTTGCTGAATTATTTAATGGCATAAGCAGTTTAATTTGATGTTTCTCCCATACAGATTGTGGAGTTATTTCTACACGTGTGATGCTGTTACTTGATGATCTACTCTGGGTCCTAACAGACACTCAGCTGAAGGCAGCCATCTTGTATATCAACTCACTCAAGGACATGATAGAGAAATCAAGAGAGCAGAGCAAAAACAATGCAGCAGAGGCACTAGATGTAAGCTATGATTTTATGAAGGGATTTTTTTTGTGTATCCTAGTTTGTATGATGTTATATGATGAGATATTTTACAGATACAAGGATTAACCTCCCTTTACAATGACAACTCCCAGTCCCAGAGACCTCGGAGCCAGTCTAATCCCTCCCATGTTTCTCAGCTATTTGAGCGATTTGACGTGCAGACGACATCTTATCATGTGATCAGTAGCAGGATTGACCTTCACCTTTGTGATGACAACACCACGGATACAAGTATGATACACAATCAGAATTGGATGTTAGTTTTTAAAATACACTAACTGCTTAATTTACTTGATTTCTTCGGCAAAAATAAATATTCATCATAATGTTCAGGCTGAAAAGAAGCACATGTCTACTTGTCTGGGATGTCATGGTCTTACTGTCCCAGGTGTCGAATAAAATTTTTGCCATGATCATTTTTTATTTAAAGAAAATTTCTTAGATCCAACTGTGTTATATTATATTTTTGAATCAGCAACTTTAGACTGCTTGCCTTTCATGCACTAAAAAGAACACACTCAATACAAATATTCAATCTTGTCTGTCAACGAGTTGCCATAAACCCCATTTTTTTTTGTAAATCTGTTTTATACTCAGAGTCCATAATGTCATCAACATTTTGGTTTGTAAAATCAATGTCTAAGAAATACCACTTTTATTGCTCTCCACATATCAGCATGCTGAAGATTATTTCACAACTGTTTGAGATGGCAGATTTATTCTTTGATTTCAGAAAACATTCCAGGCCACAACAGTCAGATTGAGGGAGGGGCTATGCAGGTGATCATCCACAAGCTCTCAGTAGATATCTACCCGTTCTTCCCAGCAGGTAAAACATAATAATCAAGTATAAATGTGATGCAAGACATGGACTAATTATCATAACCATTGGAGTGATTGGACACTCTATTTTTTATAGCTCGCCTGAGTCAGTGGCTCAAGTGATTTTTTTTGTGTCATCTGTGTAGCATGGCAGATACATAGGGATCATTTTGTCCAGTGTTTGTCTAAACTTATGTCTGTCTGTCTGTCTGGGAGGAATCCCACTTCCATGGACTTAAGTGCTTGGATTGGACTATAAAAGAGAGTGGAAGTATAACATAGGAATATTTATTTGAAAATTGTCTTCTCAAGAATAGAGTCATTCAAATTGTTTTAGAAGTATCCTATGTACTATATATTCCAGGTGGCTCCTGGGGCTAGGGTAGGGCAAAATTGTGTAGGTTCAAATGGGGAGAATTTTTGAATAGGAAATATCTTTAAAGACTCCATTTGTCATGTTTAGCAGAGTTGAATAAGAGAAATCAATATTTTAACAGCCCTACAGATAACATTCATTTTTACTGTTTGACCCTTTTATCCAGTGTGCAGACACAATGTGGGGCTTTCATTTATTTTGAACAACATTTATCAAGAAGAGTGATGTGTGCTGGTGAGCATTGTAGCCCATGGGCTTCTTGCTTATATTGGTAAACAGGCATAGATGTTTACTATTTGAAGCTTTTGATTTGATTGACACTTTACAAAGGCTGTGTTTTCTGTAGACGAGGAACTGATCATGTCTCAGGGTAAGTCCTTGCTATTTTTGGTTTGTGTAGGTTCCTTGGGAGTTCCCTCCCCTGAAGCATGTCTAGACACTCTTCTATTACAGATCTCTACTGAGGGAAACCATCTGGGTTTTTTTCTTCCTTTTTTGAAATTAAAGTCAAATCATTGTGACAACTTTGCATTATTATATCATTTTACATTTTTTAAAATTTGGTTGAATACAGTGTTCTTATCTAATGGAGCATATAAGAATTTATGGCATATTATGCTCAATGCTTGATTGACCTGAAGTCATGAACATTTTGGTCAGTCATCAAGAAGAGTCCCCACCATCATAAGATTCTAGTCGCCCGCGTGGCGCAGTGGTTAGAGCGCTCGCTCTAGAGTCGCGGAGTAAGGAGATGATCCTTACGTCGCGGGTTCGAATCCCACTGTGGGATGTGGAGACCAGGCTTCGGGGCCACCAACATATAAAAATCTCAGCTCAAATCTCAACCTCAAATCTTAGATTTTTGCCTCAGCTGAGATTTTCTTAAAACGCTGTGCCACCAACATTTCTGAGATTCGTCTCACGTAAGCTGAAATTTGAGAAAAATCTTAAGACTTATTCTCATTGTTATATGCGACCTTTTTTCTTATAATGCACGGAGTTTTTGAATCAATGATTGAATTTACCTTTCAGTTAGTTGTTTATGCAATATTTTGGCATATAATCAGGAAAATACACATTCTCAACTTCCTTCGTCTTTTATTTGTTGTTTCGAGTCATTCAAAGGAAAGGATTCCATTACGATCTTTGCGACAATAAATATTCACCGAGTCCCCGTAATATCATCCCTACAGAAGAATAACACAAAAAAATATCCAAACGTTATAGTCTTGGCTCGTCTGTCGAAAAAAACACACAAAATATACACCAAGGTGTCACTTCCGCCATTGTGACGTTACGTGTCGAAAGATTACAAAAAGTAGATAGGCGGATCAGACTTTATTTGCTGGTCGAATACATATTTTTCTTTCTTTAGTTTTGTTTTGTAAAATGTCATATATATATCTATTACATTTTATTCTCCACAGCAAAAATATTTTAGATATAAGCTTTTTATTCCTATTTAGATTTTTTTTTTTCAAAAAAAAAATCATTTTAAGCGATCAAAGGAAACAAATTTTACCTCCGAAATAATGATTTTAAAAATACTGCCAACTCGGCCTTAAAGGCAGAGATTTTAAGCACCGCCTTCAAAAATACCTGGTCTGTGTACCCCTGTCAATCAAGTACATTAAGGTACATCACTGGGTGCTAGAACTTGATTGACATTTACTTTTTAATCCCTGTGTATACCATGTACACCTTGTTTGGCACTCTTGGTGACCTTCAAATTAACTTTTGATCCTTTGATGTTTACCACATAGGGTATAAACAATAGGGAAGCTGTATTAGTATGGAATTTTTAGCTTGATAATATATATATAGACTGCTAGCGCTCGAGGCATTCACACCTGTACAAAATAAGCCCCTCCCTCACCTGGAATTAACCATCCGGTAAAAAATCTCTGCCTTTAAGAAATAAACACTTAGTGATTTTTTTAACTAGCCGATCAAATGTTAGATATATAGCTAATTTTCTCACATCATAATTTTCTTTAGTGTTTCGTAAAAATTTATGCATAAGTTGCGACAGAAAACATATCCAGCATATGTATGCTTGGTTTTATGCGATCCCAATTTATCAAGAAAATTTTGATGAGAATTGTTTTATTGTCAGGTAATTTCAGCCCCCCTTCCCCCGACGAAAGAAAAACCTGAAATTGAACTACGGACATGTTTAGAGACGAGGCTAAGAAACACATCGCATTTTCCATGATCCCTGTTATAGAAAATGTCAGAGAAACAGAGGAGGCTACATACTACGATCCCCTTCGATCTTCTTCTTCTTTTTTTTTTAACAACGAATATAGTGAACAATACATGTATATACGTCATTAATTACACTGGAAACCCAAATCAATCTCACATACGCTTTTCAAGAGACGATTAATTGATCAATTCCTATTATCATATCATAAATAAAAGTTTCACTGCATACATGTTATCGTGTAATGTCTGAAACTAAGGTCATTCAGGACCATACTTGTTTTTTTTTAATTATTATTATTATTATTATTTATATTATGATTATTTCAAAATGTAACTGGTCGTATATTTAAAAAAAAGATTACTGTAAGTTCTTATCGTTTACAAGTTCTTATCGTAATTTATACATGTACTTTAGAATGGTCATAAGTCAAGCTTATTCTTATAAATAATCTGAACGGTCAAGGATTTTTGATTTCTGTGTGTGATGCACTGTGAGTATAAAGTAGATTCCAATTCACAATTAAGAATTTTATAGATTTATTTATTAATAAGAATCAAAAGCTTAGCAATATTTGTACACAGAATTTTAGGCGACATTCTTTAAATATTTGCGTATACGGATGCTAGAGAGAAATCTCAGATTTGAGAAAAATATCAGATTTTAGAGAAAACTCAAAAGATAAGTCTGAGTTTGAGAAAATATTTATTTGGTGGCACAGTTTGGTGAGAAAAACTCAAATATTCTGAGAAATCTCAGATTTGAGAAAATCTCAGCGATGGTGGCCCCGAAGCCAGTCCTTCGGATGAGACCATATAAACTGAGTCCCCGTGTCGCAGTAGGGGCTGGCACGAAAAAGATCCCTCACTGCTCAATGGCCCTGAGTGCCGAGTATAGGTCAAAATTTGTAGCTCTCCACTGGCAATGAGTGAAAAATTCTCAAGAGGGACGTTAACAACAAACAAACAAACAAACAAAAAACATAAGATTCTACATAAGACATATAGCAGACCACCACTGCCATGCTTTACATTTACTGGCAACACTTCTTTGTCAATTTTGTTGTATGTTAGAATTTTGGCCAACTCATTATTCTGCAGACTATGAACTTGGTACTAGGTTTTGTCTTCAGTAATTATTTATATTAGGGATGTCAATTACACTTGGATAGATTAGTCGTGTAATTGGGACTTTTAGAAAGCGATAGTGGAGTACTTGTTAAAATATTTTTTTTCATGTCAGTTTAACTTTATGTCATTTTCAGACTGCTTAAACAATTAAATATAGTCAAGATCGGTTTGACCAAGTGATAGTCGAGTACTCAAATACTCATTGACATCCCTAATTTCAAGCTACATGTATTATTATTGTGACTCAAAATTTCTAGCACAATTTTTATACAATAGCACAAATAAATCTGGTTAATGTCCACTTCTATTGTACGACATATGTATAGCACTCAGTCTATAAATCTACCTTATAAGATATTACATATATTGGGATTAAGTTGTGGAAATGATGATGTATACAGGGTGTTTTTGTGCTGCTGCTTGTAGACTGCACTTGTACAGTGTATCGTTATTCGCTACATGAATTATAGTAGTGTGATGTATGTTAATGGCAGGTTTATAGGGAGAGTACACTGGCCCAGTGGTTAAATTATAAGCATGGTTGTGTACATTACTAGCTTGATAGTTTAAAATATCTGCATTGTCATTATAACCAATATGGTATGCTTTTCTTCATTGATCATATTATTATAAATATATTATGGATATTATTGAATCTATCAGTATTGCTTTAACTTCATATAGAGTTACCTTCCCTTGCATAAAGCATCATTTATAGACAAATCACAATATAACCTTCTTTATCCAAAATGAAGAATCATGAGGAGTTTTTGTTTATTGTAGGGGGTGAAAGAAAGAACTGGTACAGATACACTGATAATCAAGGATCAAGAAACCCTTGGGTCCAGCAACTGTTTTCTGCTTTCAAAAAACAGGCCTCCAAGGCTCGAGAAACTGTAAATATAGCATCCCCTTCACAGTCCCCAGCTCACAAGCTGACCAATAAAAATACAGAAAATACAGCAGCCAGTCAAAGTAAAACCTCTCCATCCAGACCACCCCCTCCCAATACAGGTCAAGGTCATGGGTCACCAAACCAGAGAAGACACCGTTCCACCAAGCTGTTGGAAAGTTGTTATGTGATTAAGATTGAGGAATTTACAATTTATCAAGTGTCGACTGCTGATAATAAGAGGAATAACCCTCAGAAGTTCCTGAGTTCTGATAAAAAGCAGCTCCATCTCCCCCCTGATATGTCAGTGTTGCACGCTGAATACACTGATTATTTCTTCCCTGAGGACATTGGCTTTCCAGGTAAAAAAAGTTACCTTCCTGATATGAAACTAATGTAGAGATTTTAATGGATAAAAGTTCACACAAAAGGTTGGGTATCTGAAATGGTGCTTAAGTGTGTTCAGAAAAAAAAAAAAAAGCATAAGCGTTGGTCAGGGATTTTTTGGCATACTCATGAATTTAACATACGGGTATTTCTGTGTAACTTATTAATACAAAATCATAATTCCGTGGTATAAATGAATCAATGCAAAAAGCACTACACCAAAGGCACCAAAATACTTTAGGACATGTATGAATCATGCAAAAATAAGTTCTTATAGATAAATGTCTGTCTGTCATAATTCACAATCCTAGGGCTGCAGTAGCATACCTCAGACTTAAAGAAGTACAAAGTTGAAAGTTTGGGCGACACACTGAATATAGAGAACTCAATGTAGAATGAGCCAGTAAATTTGCTGAGCAGGAATATTCTATACATGTATTTATAGATAGACTATAATAGTTCTCTAAATTGTTACCAGTTTACCGCATTGTTAAGTAAATGTATGCCATTTCCTATAGGTGTCTTTCGTAACAGCTTTTATCGTATATCATACATCCAGTCTTTACAGATATTTAAGGTCAAAAGATTTCTTTCTAACCATTGTGTGATTTTGATTGATAAACCCTGGCTTGATGTGTTACAGTTCCCCATGCCAATCTGTATGTCCTCCTGAACCCAATCCGGCTCAATGTAGACTGGTTAACTCTGCTCTGGGCCAACTTCTTCATGCTCAACCTCTCCAAAAGTATTGTAAGTTCTTACTTAAAATAAAAAATACATTGCATTAGTAACTGTTCTCTAATCAAAACATTTGTAATAAAACAATATGAACACTTATGTAAATGAAACAATTTTTATTCCCTCTTTCAAAAAAGGGGACATATTGTTTTGCACTTGTATGTCCGTCTGTCAGTAGACAAAGTGTTGTCCTCTCAATATGTTGAGCACCCTTTGCTTGACTGACATCAAACTTAGTACACTGGTTTCCTGAAAGTGTTGATGACCCCTATCGAATTTGAGGCCACAAGATCAAAGGTCAAGGGTCAAACTACTCAAGGCATTGGAAAATAATGTCTGCTCAATATCTTCAGATCTCTCTGCTTGACTGACATCAGAGATGGTACATTAATTTGTTCCCTTAAGGAGTAGAAGACCCCTACTGATTTTGAGGTCATAGGGTCAAGGGTCAAATGACATAAAAATACATATTATCCACTCAGTATCTTCAGATCCCATGCTTGACTGACATCAGACTTGGTACATTGGTTCCTCTTAAAAATTAAATGACCTATACTTATTTTGAGGTCACAAAAACCAAGGTCAAGGGCCAAACTGGACATACAAAGATTTTGATTAGTCACTATCTTGAGAATCCTTTGCTTCACATCAAACTTGGTACCCTGGTTCCCAAAGAGGAGTAGATGTTTGATGTCACAAGGTCAAAGGTCAAGGATCAAATTTTTCAAGACAGTAGAAGATATTGTTCGCTCAACATCTTGAAAACAATTTGTTTGACCTTGGTACATTGATTACCTGTAGAGAGTAGCTAACACTTATTGATTTTGAGGTCATAAGGTCAAAAGTCAAGGTCAAACTTAATATATGAAAATCTTGAGAACCCTTTGCTTGACTGTTATCAAACTTGGTACACTGGTTCCCCCTGTTGATTTTGAAATCACAAGATCAAAGTTCAAGGTCAAACTAGACATAAGAAGATACTGACTGCTCAGTATCTTGAGAACTCTTTGCTTCACAAACACCAAACTTGGTACACTTTACCCTCTAAGAAGTAAATTACCCTATATGATATTGAAGTCTGATAGAGATCAAAATTAGAATTATGTATGTCCCTGACTAGTAGATTACCCATTTTTAGCTCACCTGAGCCGAAGGCTCAAGTGAGCTTTTCTGATCACTTTTTGTCCGGCATCTGTCTGTCTGTCTAGCTGTCTGTCCGTCTAGCTGTCCATCTGTCTATCTGTCTGTAAACTTTTAACATTTTTGACTTCTTCTCCAAGAACCACTGGGCCAATTTCAACCAAACTTGCCACAAAGTATCCTTGGGTGAAGTGGATTCAAGTTTGTTCAAATGAAGGGCCACACCCTCTTTCAAGGGGAGATAATAAAGAATTAGTGAAAAATTAATAGCATCTTTTAAAAATCTTCTTCTCAAGAACCACAGGGCCAGGAAAAATGAAACTCATGTGGAAGCATCCTCAGGTAGTGTAGATTTAAGATTTTTCAAATCATGACCCCCGGGGGTAGGGTGAGGCCACAATGGAGGATCAAAGTTTTACATAGAAATATATAGGAAAAATCTTTAAAAATCTTTTTCTCAAGAACAGCAAAGCCATGAAGAGTCATATTTATGTGGAAGCATCTTCAGCTAGTGTAGATTTAAGTTTGTTCAAATCATGACCCCGGGGGTAGGGCGGGGCCACAATATAGGATCAAAGTTTTAAATAGAAATATACAGGAAAAATCTTTAAAAATCTTCTTGAGAACAGCAAAGTCATGATGAGTCATATTTATATGGAAGCATCCTCAGATAGTGTAGATTCAAGTTTGTTCAAATCAGGAACCCTGGGGGTAGGGCGGGGCCACAATGGAGTATCAAAGTTTTACATAGAAATATATAGGAAAAACCTTTAAAAATCTTCTCAAGAACAGCAAAGCCATGATGAGTCATATTTAAATGGAAGCATCCTCAGGTAGTGTAGATTCAAGTTTGTTCAAATCATAACCCCCGAGGGTAGGGCGCGGCCACAATGTAGGATCAAAGTTTTACATAGAAATAGATAGGAAAAATCTTCTTCTCAAGACCAGCAAAGCCATAATGAGTCATATTTATATGGAAGCATCCTCAGGTAGTGTAGATTCAAGTTCTTTTCAAATCAGGACCCCCAGGGGTAGGGTGGGGCCACAATGGAGGATCAAAGTTTTACATAGAAATATATAGGAAAAACCTTTAAAAATCTTCTTCTCAAGAACAGCAAAGCCATGATGAGTCATATTTAAATGGAAGCATCCTCAGGTAGTGTAGATTCAAAGAACTATATGCGGTATATGCATATTTTTGCCCCCACAAAAGTCATATTTTGAAAATTCCTTGAAATTTGCTGAATTGTATATATTGTACGAGAAATTTAAATCAACAAAAAATATTATAGTTTCAAAGTAGGTTATTGGCAATTTTTGTTTCTATGATGTCACAAAATATTCGGATTTTGTATTATTTTTTCAGAAAGAGGGAAAAATTGACAAAATTTGTTCAATTTTTACTATAAAATTTATAGAGCGCAGGCTTGCTCCAGAACAATATTTACATATTTCATTGATATTATCATTCTTCACGTTATATCAAAATATTGAGTTGGAGCAGACCTGCGCTCGGTGACTTTTACTCAAAATATCGACGTAATATACACCTTTTTCTGTAGAAATCATGGAAATTTTGAATTTACGTCATTTTCCTGACATCATATCAAACATATGGCGTCATGGCTTATGAAAATATTCAGTGCTTTGAAGTCTGCAGATATCCCCCTGTTCTAGAACATAATTATATATTTCTCCGTCAAAGTTTGATTTTGGGGGCAAATATTGGTCATTACCGAATATAGTCCTTTGTTCAAATCATGACCCCTAGGGGTAGGGCGGGGCCACAATGGACTATCAAAGTTTTACATAGAAATATATAGGAAAAATCTTCTTCTCAGGAACAGCAAAGCCCTGATTGGTCATACCCCCAGTATTTATATGGAAGCATTCTTAGGTAGTGTAGATTTAAATTTATTCAAATCATGACCCCCGGGGGTAGGGTGGGGCCACAATGGAGGATCAAAGTCTTAAATAGAAATATATAGGAAAATATCTACTTCTGTATAACTGCAATGCCATGATTAGTCATTTTGATATGGAAGCATCCTCAGGTAGTGTAGATTCAAGTTTGTTAAAATGATGACCCCCAGGGATAGGGTCAGGCCACAATGCATATGGGGGATTGAAAATTTTACATACAAACATATAGGAAAATATCTTCTTCTCAAGAATTGAAAATCATGTTTAGTCATTTTGATATGAAAGCATCCTCAGGTAGTGTAAATTCAGGGAGGTTGAAAGTTTTACATAAGAATAAGAACATATAGAAAAAATATTTCTTCTCAAGAACAGAAAAGCTATGTTTAGTCTTACTGACATGGAAGCATCATCAGGTAGTTTAAAATTCAAGCCCCCCCCCCCCTTTTTCACTATCATTACAGACAATTTTGTATTGTAGGAAAGGATTGAATTAGAAGATGTCCCATTAGAACATGTTGACACTAAAGTGGAGGCTATTATGCCAAGGGTAAGAAGTATACACTGTAGATTATTTCTTTATCTTTATACTTTACTTGTACTTATTAAATGCACACACAGGTCAGAAACATTTGACTATGTGTTATTATTGTGGTGGATCTATGTTCCAGATTGTTGTTCCGTTTGATGAGAAGTGTGAATTGCCAGACTTCCCAAGCAGTGTGCAGCTACAGATCTCCAGGATGTGTGCCACTAACACTAGAGTCAGTGGCCCCTTCTCACGTGATAGTCTGTCAGACATTATATCCAACTATGCAGCTTCCCCACTATTCTGTACCCAGAAGTTCCCCAATGACAACAATAGTTTGAGAGCCATACCGGAAACTTTTAACACTCATGCCAAAAATTTGGAGAATCACTTCATTGAGAAGAGAGCCCTGGATTTGTTGAATGGGTGTGCTCAAAAGTTTTCTCAGGAAGAAGTGAACAAAATCTGGAAGTCAAACACTTTAAAACACGATGCCAGTTTTGATATGTGGTGCTGCCATGCAGAACAAGTGTGGTTAGAGTTTTTAGGACCTTCTAATGTGAAGAGCAGACCTTTACCATTTGTGGAGTCTATTCCTTTGACTCTTTGGATCTCAAAATCCCCGCCCAAGGCTGGGAAGGAGGGGGATAAATCAGATAAAGTAATGGAGGGGTCAGAATCCAGACTACCTAATGGTGACAGCATTTCTGTAGGTGAGAAATCCAGTAAGGAAGAGTACTCTGATTCTGACAGAGAGAAGCGACAAACTCGCCGGTTATTGAAGGATTATTATTCAGATGAGAGTGTAACTACGTCTGAAGAGTCAGAAACCAGTCAATTCCAAGGATCTCCATCAACATGTGATACTGAAAATGGTGCCAAAGATGATAATGTGCAATATTCTGCTTTGAGGGTAGCCGATTTCAATGTGGTGGCAAAAATTGGTCCCGGTCCCCTCAAGGCACAAATGACCCATTCTCAATACATTTTCATCATGCGTCTCCAGGAGTCTTTCACTATTTTTCAGACACAAATGAATGCCGATGTTAGTTATTTTATAACGACAGTATCCCCGACTGTGACGTTCTCTGTTCCCCTGATGTTGTCAGAACTAGAGTTTGCCATGCTTTGTCCCGTTGTACTAGAGAATCCTGGGATACCTGTGACATTTATCAGTCCACCGACCTCCACGAGTGGACAAGACGATTTGATGGATGAAGTGATAGAGAAGGATGAATCTACTGTCAGTGATTCTCTAGCAGTGAATGAAAGTCAAGACGGTAGGTACATGTACTAGGTTTTAGTTATAGTTGTAAAAAGTTTCTCAATTGGAAATTCATGCATATTGGTATTGATTTGTTTGTCTCACTGCTTCATTGTAAACCTTCCTCATAGCTTTTTATGTAAACAACATGGAGATTTATGTTATGCTTTGTCATGTGAATGAGTTTTGACTTAAACCTTAATTCACATATACAAAAGTTTCAGTGAATTGATACATTCACAAGGGTACATTCACAAAGTTATTGTTCCTAGGGATGTAAATTCATGGGTTTGAATGACCAACAAAATCCACAAGCATTGATTCCACAGTACTCTGGAACATTTGTGTCTCCAAAATATGAATGATAGAAATGGAAACAGGGCTATTTATTTGAAAATACAATATTTTGTCAGCAGCATTCTTGATTTGTTTTCAAAAATTATATATTTAATAAACTTTTGCTTTTAGACTCATCCAACAGGAGTTTTCCTATTGTTGATATCATGGATCTCTCTCACCACACACTGGGAAAGTCCTACAGTGAGTCCAATGTTCAGAACTTTGCTCCTGATTCCAGTCAGCCACCTCTAACTCATGCTATCCTGGAGAACAATCTACAGTCGAGAATTTCTCAGTCAACTCAAGCGCTCGGCTCGGTGGGGCGAGAGTCTGGCTATGGATCACTTTCAGAAGCTCCAGTGCCACAAAGCAAGAAAATTTTACCAAAGACAACAGACTCAATGAAAAAGTTCACTTCCAAAATGTCAGGACTGGCAGACAAGATAAAAGCCAAGATGGAGAATCTAGGGGACGATAGCTCTAGTATTTCAGACAGTTTGGACAGTATGTCTATTAGGACAGACAGTTCTGAAGATGACTTTGAGGAATTGTCATTGGATGATGTAGAAGTCCCAGCATTCCAGAAAGCTCGACCAATCAGTGAGTCCCTTTCTACAGATACTGATGCAGCAGACGACCTATCTTCCTTCTGTGCAGAGCAAAATGCAGCTGAAGCAAGGGGCAAAGAAACGGTAATGTTGTCTACATGTTTCTAAATTAAGATTTAAAATTTCACTTTTATGAAGAAATACCTGCATGAAAGTTTTTATATTATTTTTGTAATTTTTATTTTATGGTTAAAACATTGATAAGTAATTAATCCATTTCTTTTATCAGGATTAGTGTCATGCAAATCTTAAGCAGATAGATTTATCTTGTTAATATATATATTAAAAAAATTTAAAGTGTTTTGTTATATATGTATAAAAATGTATGTATGAGATGCAGTAAAGTCATAAGTTAGCATAGCTATTGCAGTGATTTAGTTTCATTATAGAAAAATATTTTTGTAAGAAAGAAATAAAAAAAAAAATTTAGTATTTAATCACAAACTAATGCTACCAGCTCCCACCTAGTATACCTACATGTAAGTTTACTTTTCCAATACTGTAGATTTCTGTGGTGCTGTTCAAACTGACGTCTTTAGAGCTGTTGTTACAAGGAGATGGGGAGGATATGGCGGCCCGGATCCAGGCTCAGCAACTCCTAACCATCCAGCCAGGAAACATGATATACGACACATTCCATCAGAAGTTCCTCTCACCCACAGGTACAGGGTCTGATTCATGGCATAGGTGGTGGGTGTTTTTTATACTGCTGTCATATTACATTTGTGAAATTAATTTGTTTTATGACAGGCCATGATATGACTTGGGTATATAACATTTGTCATGTCAATCCTCCCTCCTTCCACCTTTCTTCTGTCAGTCCACTCCAATTTGCGTTATGCTCAGTTTGAAAGAAACTGTTGAAGATATGTAATCAAAACCTTAAAACTGCACATAAACAATTTGAATCTGCCAAATTTTTCTGACCTTGAAGTTCTATTCAATCTTAGATTATAGAAGATGATTGTTTATATTATCCCACCTATATAAATTGATGGATTCTACTATGTAAGTGGAAACTTTGACGATGTGGAAATGTTGACGAATTTCTCATAGTCATCAAAATTTTCACTTGTCAACTTTCTCATGTCTGTTAAAGAACACTGTGAAATACAAGTAGATTGTCAAAGTTTCCATTCGCCATTTTTATAATATACTGAAATCGTCAAACTTTCAACCCTTCAATATAACCACTTTAACAGTATTTTAACCAACACGCAAAATTAGATTTTACTATAACTTTCATTAAAGATCAGTAACAAAGATCTTTTATGAATTCAGGTTTCTTTGGCCAGGAGAAGCTGTTTACCCCAATCTCTGAGCCAGCAGTGAAGCTGAAGTTTACCTCTGGACCCGGGTCAAAGCAGGAGTCCTGTCTCGGTTCAGAGGAAGGCTTCTTGGCTGTCAAGGCCCACGACTTTGGTTTACATTTCAAGACCTCCAGCCTGACCACACTTACAAACTTTGTTGAGGATGATAAACCGTCTGAATCTATACCTATGCACGTGGATGTCTCAAACTTTATGCTGATTTTACAAGTAACAGTCTTATCTTTAATTTTGTTTAAATCAGTGGGTGTTATTTTAAGATTCTAATTAGAAAATGAGAAAAAGAATTTAGAGTTGCTTAAAAAATTTTAATTCTGAGGCAGATGATAGTTGGCCTATGGGCAAGTTTAGTATGTGACTGTATATCTTTCATTAAGAACAAACATGCCTGTATTCTATAATTAACCAACCACCTTGCTATTATTTTAAGGATGATGTAGTTCCCCCAGGATTTCCTAACCCACCAGAACCAACCCACATTCAGATTCATTCCCTGACCATAATGAGAGGGAGGGATGGAGTCATGCACCTGAATCGTACGTATCTTGTAGAGCAGCATTCTCTCAGTGTGTGCCAAAAGCACTAGCCTGATGTCCGAACACTAGTGAAAATTTGATCAGGTTAGTAAATGTAGGTTGGCACTAGCCCGATTGGCCTAGTAGAATCTTCAGCGATAATTATCCATTTCTATCTCAGTATTTTAAAAAGTTGTCAAAAACATTTTTTCTGAAAAAATTAATACTGTTGTCACTGACATCAAGAAACGCTTTGAATTAAAACATACCTAAGGGGTCCAATGGAAAAGAGGCAGACAGTGGGCATGACTCAGTTAGAAATATACATCTATTGTAATGAAATGTTTATAGTGCATTAGACTGCATTCATGTGTAAAACAAAAAAAAGTTTTATTACAGAGTCAAATATTTTTGCGTGGATACTATTGTGTCACATGACAATAAAATGACAAAACATTTTATAGAACTGTGTCATTTTATTTTTCACACTTTTAAGGGGGTAGTAAAAAGTGATTTAGGCAAGTAAAATGTTGCCATGGCTAATGTTGAAAACAAAGTTTGGTGCACACTGTTCTCGGGACTTTTTTATTTATTGAATTGCTTATGTTTTGAAACAATAGGAAACATGTATAATGTGTTGCATAGTGTTGTTAAAATATTTTATCATTGTTTGTAAATGTTATAGAATGCTTCTCTAATTTTCAGAAAATATGATATCTGACAGAAATCAAGATACCAAAGACCTAAATGGAGAGGTAGATGAACTGAAAGGTGAGGTGCAGGTCTTAAAGCAGAGTAACTATGAAGAGTGTCTAAGTATAAGATCTGTGAAGTTACAGTTACAGGAACTGGAGGTCGAGAATAGACTTCTGAGGGAGGAAAACAGGAAATCAAAGTGTAGCCCTGAATCTGAGACTGCGAAGGAGGTAAAACAGCTGCTGGAAACTTACACCACTGAAAACGCTCGTCTTATCGAGAGAATCGCACACCTAGAAGACGAACTTTTGTCAGTGACCCAGGAGAAGAATTCCTTCATTGAAACTCTTTCTTTACTTCAGGATGAACTAAACCTCTCAGAAAGAAGACGGCATGATTCTGATAAATGAAGGCTCAGCTTAATATTATAGGGGGTTAATATTTATTTTACTTGAGGGAGTTCATATATGTGTGTGTGTTGTAATAGGTGATTATTTTTATATCAATTAAATAGCTGTAATTTTTGATAGCATGTGTAGAAGGTAAATTATTAATTTTTTAATAATAAAAGTTGTGTGGTTATAAACTATATGCATAGTATGTTGAAAAGTGGGTGGTATCTGAATATTGTCAATATGTTTTGATAAAAAAAAATAATTTACTATTTGAAATGTTAATGTTGTTTGCAGACTCTTAGACTTAAAAGTCATATGCAATGGGTTATGTCATAATAATATGGGGTATATCTGGACACTTGTCCAACAAAATTATTTATTTATTGTTAATTTACATGTACATTGATGATTTGTAGAAAAAATTTGCCACTCAGATGAATTTGTTCTTAAAACTGTTACAAGATATTGTTATTTGTATATTGTACATGTAGATTATTACTGTCTGCATGTACTTTTTCTCTCCTGTGGTGCAAAATTATTGTAAATCAAATATAACAAGTACGGATGCAGAGTACCCACCTCCAACTTTTTTAATACTTATGAATCTTATAGTAACAGCTGCTGAAGCTAACCTGTAAGGAGTTAAGACTTTTATCTTCAACTCTTTAGGAAAATCAAAGAGGCACTTTTTATTGCTTTAAGGTTCACTGACACTCTGGTAAGAGAGATAACTCTCACTGGGTTTCATAACTAATATTTCTTTAAAATTTTGTGAAGTCAAAATGGCACTTTCTGTGAAATTTTGCACCACAGGGTATGCTGAAATTGTTGCATTAATAATGTAGATTTCTTATAGAAAATCATTATGAATCAAACAAATTTTTTTTTATAAGAGTGAACAGAGAGATGATGAAACTTAATATTGAATGTGGACTAAAATGTCTGTTTTCCTGATAGTGCTCACACCTTTATTTTGATATTCATACTGGCCATAACATACAATGTATAGTCATTTTGGTATTTATTGAATACTTGTAGTGGTTTTCTGGTGGTATTAACAATGTAGTATGCATATGATGATTGCTTGAAAGGTTCATTGTTAAGTATAATGCTTTTATTTTGAATACTAGATGTCATTCAGGTTACTGATGCAAAGAATTTAATCTGTGAACATCTTTTGAGGGTTTTTTTTTTGGAAATCAAGTCAAATTTGTATATGTAGTGACCCTTTAAATTGTGTTTGCTCAGTTTTATAATATAGTGCTTATCTTTGTGTATTTCCTTTATAGCTTATAGTATTTAATGAAAGAGACACAACTGTACCTCTCATTATTAACCATTATACACAAACGTGTAATAAATAATCCAAATCTATATCGTATAGATTATCCACCGAGCTCTTGGCTCACTGTATTTCTGTGCAGGTTATCTTTTTCTTTCTGTGTTTTTCTTGTCTTTATTTACCCCCCACCCCCACCCCCCGTTGGTTTTGGTGCTCTTTTCTGTGTACAGTTTTACAGATATCGATATGTTTCCTGCTTTTTGTCAGCTTTCTGTGATATTTTGGGTGACTTCCATTGGAAGGAAAAGACTATAAGGCATTTGTATGGTGCTTGGTATATTTATTATTAAACTTTAAAGGCTTTGTTACATAGGCAAATTTAAGTGTATTATGCATGAATTTGAACAGAATTCACATGAACAGAGTACTACTGGAAAACAACTAGTTCTCAAGTTTTTTTTCTGTTTTGTGAATGACATGAATTAAATGTCATCTGCCCAGTTTTCTAAAATTGTGATATATGAAAGTAGGAGAATGTATACCAATTACAAAGTAGCATAATTATGAAATGAAGAGAAAATACATTCTCAGAATATTTCCATTTAGCATTCTTGTTTTGGGGAGACTGGCATCTGTGGTGTTATATGAGCACCAGGCATATATACTGTAAATCACTTTTTATTCACGAGAACTTTATTTTCACTTAATTACACGAGACAACGTGCTCATGAAAATATCATTCTCGCATATATTAGTATTCCTAAAGATTATGTAGAACAGTAACCACAATTCTTGAAAATTTTGACTCGTTAATAAAGAGTAAATGTCTATCTCGTTAAAATAAGGTGTCGTGAAAATTTAGTGATCTACAGTAACTGCAGTGACTTAAGCAAGTACTTGTCTTCCCCCTTTTCAGAAATCTTTTCCCACAGATATTAAGCAGTGTACTATTGCATTTTTTATCAAGAATTTTTTTGAGAACTGGTTGCTAGTCAGTAAAATGAAAATAACATGATTACATGTATTTCAAGGAAAGGCATATAAATGTGTAAGGGATTATTCACACAATATATTTTACTAATGATTAGGGCTGGGTATCGGCTGGGAATTTCGTATTGCGATATATTGCGATATTTTAAACTGTATTGCAATATGTATTGCAATATTTTTAATAACAGTTAAAATGCTCTTTTCTTAGTTTATTAACCTCCATTTATAATCAGAGTGAATAAAACTACATGTGTATTATAAATACGTTGTAGCAAAAAAAAGTTTTTGTCAATTTCACTTCAGTTTTTCAATGAAATACAACCATACAACAGCAACCTTATTATTTGGCATGATTGAAAGTGTTTCTGGCATCTTGAATTTCATATTTTACTTTAGAAATCACAAGCCCAAGCATTTTACAGATATACCGTTACTGGAAAAACATATCACAATATGATATTTTTTGTTAACAAATCGCAATATACCGGAATATCGATATTATTGCACAGCCCTACTAATAATGCTTTATGTAATTATAAAAAAAAATGAACAGGGTTAAAATGGATGTTGATGTTGTTCTTATTTCTCCCTTTTGTACCTCGTCGCTCGTGTTATTTTTCACAAACAGAATAAAAAGGACATTTACTTTGAATATTAGGGCTATTAATGCAGATTTAATGTTTCTCCAATCTGTGACTTTGATCAACAGAAGGAATATAGCAAATTAATTCATTTATTTTTGTTGGCCTATACAATTTTATTATAGATATATAGTTTACTAGTCTGAAAGTATTGAGATAGTAGTTCATTCCAATTTTGGGGAAAAATTGTAAAATGAACATTTAAGTGAAATTAGCTTGGATAATAAAATAAGAAAGGGATGAGAAAATGCAAATTCCAGTCAGATTTAGTAGATTATTTTTATAGAGTGCCTGAGCGATATAAAAGCTGAATACAGTATTTTATGAGGCTATTATTAGACCTAAGCAGCTATACATATAAAAGATACCGGGTAGTTTGAATGCTGAGAAAGAGAGGATGACAGTTCCCTTATAAAGTACTTGCTGTCAATAATCAGTTTTTACCGGTAATTTTGTTTGTGGTGTAGACTTCAGTATTTATAGACACAATTTAGCAAAGTAGTTTGATATTGTCTGCAGGTATTGATGTACATGTATGACTGTGTACCTATTTAAAACTTACTAAGTTTGTTTCATTTTAATACCGGTAATTAGAAAAGTGTTTTCTTGTCTAAGCCAAAGTTTGTTTAAATTTTCTTTGTTTATTTAAATTTCTTGGAATATATGTGGAAGTGTTATACACATATAGGGTACTTAATGAATATTTTAGATCTATTTTACAGTAAATGATTTAGAATTGCAGATGAATTATACCATGTAGAATTGAGTACTCTAGCTGTGTGACTCAGACTGTATTCCTCAGAGTGACACAGCTTTAACTCTATATCAAATCAATCAAACTGTTCTGATTATTATAGAGGATTCCTGGGAATTTGAAATCTCAGCTCTTTCCTTGTAAACATTTACACAATATTTTTCAGTATTTAATTGATTTACTCATATAGCCTTAGGTGTGTTTTGTTTTTGTTTTTGTTTTTTGCATATTTAGTGGGTTAATTTGACCTGTTAAAATTAAAGTGCATAGCTGCCCATATGCATGTACGCAATCATAAACAAGACCTTGCTTCGTTCAGGGCCAGATTGTGCACTGAATGTGGCTTGTAGTCTTATCGTGGGTTCCTTATATTTGGGTGCTTGTAATTTGCCTGATGAAGGTAAAAAGTTGTTTTGATTCTTAAACATGTATCATCACCTCCTGTCATTTATATATATGTGTGTACATGTACAATATTTTGTTTTCCACTTTATTTCTGTATATCTAAAACAAAATGAAGATATTCAAATCTGTTATATACTGAGATATGGTGAAGCCCTATTTGTAACTTTTCTTTTGTATTAAGAAAACAGAGTAAATCCTGTTTAATCCTAGAGGAAATGCAATAATTTAACACTTTTTGTATGGTTTTTCTACTCCATTTAATGGACTTGTTGTATGGTTGTTTCTGTTTGATAGAATAAAGAATACCTATATGAATTTACTGGGTTACTTTTCATTGAGGTACTAAAGAGATCCATTCTTCTCGTTAGAGAATGGAGGAAAGGGGGAACGGGGAAAGAGTTTGGAAGGCTATCTTGAATACAGACATTTAGCAAGCAATTAATGCAATTTGCCATGTTGATACAGTGAAAACTGTCTATTCCAACACCTGTGCAATCTGTTTCTCTGGGAATTCTGACCTTTATTTTTATTCCCATTTTACTATTTTCCATGTTCTTTACGCTGAGCACTGCAGCACCCTGTCTATTCACACACAAAATTTGTCTTCAAATACATTTCGGATAAGACAGGTTTCACTGTACTTTTAATAAAAGCTTGTTTGTATGGTTGCATATATAAAGCTTTTCCCAATTTTTACCATAATTTATTTATTTACCATTGCTTGGAAGTAATGACAGTTAAGCAGAGGCACTCTATCAGTTTAAAATATTAATTCAGAAAACAAACCCACGCCTTGAGACTGGTTCCCATGCCCAGGTGACAGGGATATGGGCAGATCCAAATTTCAAAGGGGGAGGGGTTATCGCAAATATTATCCTTGGAACCCTACAATACATGTGTCGTTGACACAGTAAACAAATCGTAAGAAGTAAATGTTGCAGATATTTTCTGGTTAAAGATAATATAATTCAGATTTTTATGGGGGAAGGGGAGGGTTCTCCAGAAAATAATAGAGCACAAAAAAGTGTCTGAAAAGGACTGTGACGGTAAAAAAAAAACCAAAATTCGAAAAACCTATTTCTAGAGGAGGGGGTCTCTTTTCAACAAACAAGAAGAAGGTGGGATTGGCAACCGGCCTTTAAATGAAAGATCCTTAGGTGAAAGATACAAGTTTGTTCCAATGAAAAGCCACGCCCTCTTCCAAGAGGAGATAATTAAAAATTAATAAGAAATAATGGCATCTTTTAAAAATTCCTCCCAAGAAACACTGGGTCAAAATAGATGAAACTTATATGAAAGCTTTTTCAGATAGTGTAGATTCAAGTTTGAACCCCCGGAGATAGGGTGGGGTCTCAAAACTAGGAGATCAAGTTTTACATGGAATATATCGGATTTTTTTTTTAAACTCTCTTCTTGAAGAACAGCAATGCCATGATAAGTCATATTAATATGGAAACATCCTCAGGCAGTGTAGATTCAGGTTTGTTCAAATCATGGACCACGGGGTATTAGGGAGGGGGCAGTATAGGGGGTCAAAGTTTTACATGGGAATATAACTATAGGAGAAAAAATCTGGAAAAAGTTCTTCTCAGTGAAGAACAACAGGACCATAATTTTATAATATTAACATGGAAGCATCCACAGGTAATGTAGACTCATGTTCAAATCATGGTCCCTGCGTAGGGTGGGGTCACAATAGGGGGTCAAAGATTTACATACGTATAAATGTATAAGGAGAATTTTTTTAAAAAAGTCTTCTCCTCAAGACCACCAGGGCCATGATTAGTCATATCGATATGGAAATACCGCCAGTTAGTGTAAATTCAAGTTTAATCATGTCATGCCCCCCCCCCCATCCCCCGGTTATGATGGGGCAACTATTTGGTATGGGAGTTTTACAAGTGAAGTTGTATTTAAAAAAACGACCTTCTCAAGAGTAGCTGAGTCACACTAAACTGTTGATATGGAAATAAACCCAAGCTGTATGAACCTTTTTTTTAATAATGGACCCTGGGTTTAGGGTGGGGATCAAATTTGTAATAATTTTTTTTTTCATATTTGCTTGTGTACAAGGAAAAAGGATCCAGGGTGAATATGAAAATCATATTGATAAATGTAGATTCCCAATATGTGGATTCAGCTTTGGTTATATCATAACCTCTTGAGGGATGCTGTGAGCATACTATGGGTTTTTTTTTATTAGGATAATGAGCGAAAAAATCTTAGAAAAGGTAATATTGCCACCTGTGATCGATCTGTGAGCGGCAATTCTGGCATACAGTATATTGTCGACAGGTATACCGTAGTATTTGAGTCGTAATAGTTGGGCTCCAACAAAGCAATACATGGTCAGTGAATTTATTTCATAATTACATGTATTACGCGTGTAGTAATATATATCTTATCTGATTTTCATATTGGTGGGTTTTGCCTTAATGTAATGTTTTTCTGCAGTAAAGGCCGTACGTGTTTCAAAACTCATTTTTTTAATCTGCATTAACCCTGGTTGCCTGAGCCTTTACTTAGGGCATATGTCAATATTCATTGTATATATAGATCTATATCATACATTTTTCAGGCCCGTAGAACGCACAGGGGGGAGCAGCCCCCCCCCCCTTTTTTTCTGAGTATAGCATTTTGCTATAGTAAATTTTCAGATGTTGATTGCCCCCCCCCCCCAATTTTTTTATGTTGTAAGGTCAAGTACTGGCAAATTCCAGGATTTGGACAGTAAATAAGCTTCTTCTTTTTCTTTCTTTTATATTTAGCTTGTCAGATTATTTTGGGAAGATCCCCCCCCCCCCCAACTTTTTAAACCGTTGCTACTGGCCTGTTTTTCCTCCTGAATATATGGAGATAATTGTAGTCGTGAACGACCTGCTTAATCCCACATTAGCTATAGGTCAAGGATTGGTTACTAAGGGACATATGAGTGTTGCTACATTGGTTGAGCTCATTGTCTACTTCATCATTAACAAATGCTAGTATACCTCTTCGTAACTTCCAAAAGCACTGAAGACGAGTTTTTAACTTTGTAGAAGGAAGTGGGTAGTGGGTGGGCATTGCACATAAATATTCTGTACAACTCATCAAAAGTAGTTCATATTTCGGTGAGTAAAATTTTGAGTATTTCTGATTTCCCTGAAACTCATTGAAACTGGTGGAACTAATTGAGCTGGTTTTTTGAAGAAGAGGAATGAGAAATTGGGTAGAATTTTCACTCCTCCCACCTTTTCTTCCTAAATCCCTTCTTCTCTCTTTCAACCCCCTCCCATTCTTCTTTTATGCCTAGCTCCTCCGTTTTCTTCCTTTCCCTTTCTCCCATCCCCCCCCCCCCTCCCGAAGAGCCATGACCAAATGAAAGTTGTCTTGGTTTGTGAGACAAATTAGATGTAGCTCAATAAGCATTATCTACAGCACATGCGCACAAAATATATAAACGATAGTCAAAACAACAAACAAGATACATATATTACATGTCCATAGAAAATAATTTTCACCACAATAATCTTTTTATACAATTTGAATTGGAAGCAAGTTCAGTTGGGATACTTTATTTCTCTAACTTCCACGAAGACGCTCGATTCTTGAAGTGGTAAAGAAATTACCCTTATTTCAAGTTTTGGCATTTCTGATGGGAAAATCCTGCGAGAATTTCTCTTCAGTATTTTTCCTATAATGTCTAGTAAGGAAGATTTAATTTGATTGTTCAGTATTGAGTAAATCATTGGGTTGATTACAGCATTGGACCATCCAAGATATATCACAAAGCCATGGGCTGCGAGGCTCGCCTTGTCCATGTAAGGGTCTGCAATAGATAACACAATAAAAGGGAGATTCATGCAAGAGAACAATATAATGGTTACCAAAATAGTCCGCACCAATTGTCTTTCATTCCTTAACCTGCGAGCCTGTGCCCTTTGCAAATTACGCACTCGTCGGAAGGTCGAGTTGACTTTTTTGAGAATTTCGATGTAGCAGAATAAAATAGACGGAACTGTGAGAAGTAATGTAATAGTGAAAGCAAAATCTCGGAAGCCATCACTGGAGTGTACGGGGTGACATATAAACCTGAACCTGTCGTACGAAAATGATCCCCAGATCCCCGACAGTGGAAAAAGAAACAAAATAGGATAGAATGTCCAGACGACGGCCAGCATTATCCTGATGTTTCTAGCAGTGTAAATTTTTCGATACAGAGTGAACCTCACAATTAAAAAATAGCGATTCAGTGAGATAAGTACAATGTTGAGAACAGCGGTTCCTAGTATACTGTAAATGATATATCCATAGAACGAACAGACTCCATTGTTTTCCAAATGTTCCGAAAACGTGTACGAGGAAATAATAGGCAGACACACTGAACACATGAAAAGATTACTGACAAACAAGTTCAGTACAAATTTGAACGGACTTTGTCTGTAAAGCCCTCCTTTGACCAACACAGATATAGCTATCAAATTTAGTATCGTTCCCACTACTGCGATGAACGTTGACAATGTTTGGTGCAGGGTTCGATTCCAGGCGAAATCCTGTATCGCCTGATGGACATGATCGTCTATACTGTTGTTAACTGTCATTGTCACACGATGTGTCTAGTAGCTCCTACTCCTTATTTACTGAACCACAGAAAATCTCAACTCAGTAATAAACATCGGAGAGGATTTTTTTCGTCGTCATTTTGATATTGATATGTCTACTCTGTGTCTCCCGGGTGAACTGCTTTAATCACGGCTGTGTCATTCATTATTGATCTATAGCCGAATTCATAAGGATATCGTAAAGATTAATAGAACGGATTCTGTTTTAACATTTTGCCTTTAATAATAATGTGAATCCATTAAAGCTTATACCTTAATTGCTTTCATGTACAGAACACATTTAATCTGCCAAATACACTGTATATCCGATGTGCTGTCACGTCTTGGGTGATAAGACAGATGAAACAAAATATACTGCATCACTTCACAAATTTAAAATTTTTAAATTCTGTATCTTTTTATATATCTTATTTTCAAAAAGTAACGTTAAACAACGCTTATACTAGCAGTGGGTTCATTTGTTACCAATGTTTCTACATTTATGCATTTAAAAAAAATAATTAAAAAAGAAAGAAAACACCAGAAAAACCAAAGGAACTCGATATAATTTTTTTTTAAAATCCTTAAATACATTACACGACAGCAAATACTGATATATAAAATTGGGATCTTTTATATATTTTTTGGCTCTAACACTTTATGGCCATTTAAATTTTCAAACTGATCACATATATTACTAAAAAACAAGGAAACTTTCCACCGGCTCATCCTTAACATCTAATACATGTACAATTAAGAAAAAAAATCTATACAGAAATTATATTTCAGGGACTGATCGTCTGTAGATGAACGAATGTTGTAGAGATGTTGTAGAGAACGAATGTAATCATGTCCCTATTTCTCTATAGCTAGAGAATCTCTCTTTTCCCCTTTCTCTCCAATTTTGTGTTGTTTTGTATATAATATTCACGCATATGCATATATATATATATATATATATATATATATATATATATATATATATATATATAGAGAGAGAGAGAGAGAGAGAGAGAGAGAGAGAGAGAGAGATCTATTCACAAAAAAACACCTGAAACTCATTGTACATAGCGCTTTCCAAAGAAATATTTCACGCTATAGCGTAAAAATAACTTCTTTTGAAATTGCTGATTTTGTAAATTAGACATAATGAAGTAGTCATCACTTTATTACATTATACATGTGTATTGCAGTTTTAGTCATGTTTAAAAACGTGATTTCGAATGTACGCAACTATTAAGTGATTGAAAAACGTGAACCTGGGATCCCCAGGAAATGTCCTTCTGGGTCTTGTAAAAAAATAAATCTGCAAATTATAGATGATTTTAAGGTTCATCAATACGCTGATAAGGGATATAACTCTCATTGGGATAGATGACTATGATTCCTTTATAAAATCATCAACTTAAAGGCTCTGTCTAATTTTGCGCCGCAATTAGTGCATTTTGATTATAAATTAGATTCTTCGGGGGGGGGGGGGGGATCAGCGTTAAAGAAAAAAATTTTAATGCGTGAGCGGGCATCGAATGACCGAATCTTGAATATGAGTGAAATAACTACATGTAATTTGACAAAAGTCTTAAAATAAGACTGTGCACAAGCTTCATACTTTCCTAAAGGGATTTATAATTTAAATATTTGTATACTTTTTATGTGTACAGAGCAAAAGAGGTAGGAGAGGAGATGAAAGAAGAAGTCAAAGTTCGGGATGAGGAAGTGTCGGCAAAGGGAAGAAAAACTGAGGGGAGATGAACTA